TTGTTTTTTTTTCAAACCTTAATAAACACTTTTTATGTAGCCTAAATGGTTATTTGACCCATATTTGACCCGATTGTAGAGAACAAGAAAGGCAACAAGAGGAAACTTTCTTATTACAAAAAAAGTGGTTATAATATGGTAGCTGCATAACAAGTAAGCAACTCAAAGTTTTACTATGTATTTGTAAAAATATCGTTAAGGTTATAACTTAATGTTTTCAAAGTTCTCACATGATAGCGTTTATAGTTATAATCTTTTTTGAGAGATTAGCATGTGATTAAACCTGTTTATGGGTTGGACTCGATCCTAATTTTTGTTAAAATCTGAATGTCTTGGCCCGAAACTCGAGCCCTACATAGTAAAATCAGTCCCAAAGCCTGACCCGTAAACAAGTATACATGTAATATCACAAATAGATTGTCATCATTACTGATTTAATGGCATCATGCGATATCAGGTTAAGTTGAGGGATTTAAATAAAACAGTAGTCATTTGTCATGCTTTAATGTTTGTCATTGTCTTCATAGTGTGCCTCTTTGTAGTTATTTCTTTTGAATGACATTTCTAGTAACAAGGGTCGACAGACTCATCAAAAGCATCATTGCATGTCTTATATGGTTTGGAGAATAATGTGGTCATCTGATTTTAATTGTTAACAGTGTGATTTATATTACCTTAGCGATGGATATAGATTTTATTCTAGGTTCCGCAGTGGTTACATTTCATCATTATATTGTTATCACATCGTAGGTTCTACAATGGTTATTTACACATACTTACACCACCAGTTAAAAATGATTGAATTTGGATGGGCTATGAGTCGTAAATGCTAGTATTTTATAAAGTATAAAGGCATAAGACAAAAAAATTGGAACCAATGACAAGTGCATTTTTAACGTGATTAGAATATGTTATTTATATTGTTAAAGTTTCTAGTTGGTTTAATGAAAACCTAGTATAAAATCCCACCACATTCGGCTTTGGGTTTAGAGGTTTGGGGGAGCCTATCCCTTTTTCTGTAGCCTATTATTTTAAGGAAAAAACTTGATTGTTGAATAAATTATGTGATGTGAACCAATGAAAAGTTAGATTGCATCTAATTTAATGTGTAAAAAATATTCATTTTGAACCTGGATCTCAATAAACAAAAAAAAACATGTACACACCTTTTTGCGTGGCATCCAAGTATAATATTTTTCGTACTTTTTTAGTGTAGCATCACAAGTAAATTGCTAAAAATTCACCAATCATTACTTGCATCGATCACTTGACTTTTATAATAGTACTTGTAGAGTATATATTGTACTTATATATTAAATTGATGCATAAATATTCTCTATGTACGGCTAGTTGTCATACTTCTATGATGTGTATATGATTTCTGCTTTTTGTAGATTGCATATAATTCATTTTGCACGATTCACAAACTTTATATAAGTAGTTGTCATACTTCTATGATGTGTATATGATTTATGCTTTTTGTAGATTGCATCTAATTCATTTTGCACAATTGACAAACTTTATATAACTAGGTGTATTGGGTGGGGTCAAAATTTGCCACCCTAGATGCTACTATGGATTGGTGGTATGAATGACGATATGATGGGTTTTCTAAATTCTATACTTTCTCTACCTCCCAACCTATACACTATCCAAACCTGCATATTTCCTCATCGAACACAAAAAATGCAAAACCCTCCCTAACCCTATTCTATTTGCATTTTAGGGTGGGGTGGGTTGGCGCAAAACCCACATATTGCATCTATTTTGTTCTTATATATAAGTATTGAATAAGCAAAATAAATGAATAAGCATCAAAATTTCCAACAAGAAAACACAAATTATCAATTATTTTTCACATAAAATTTTAAAATATTATTAAATTCAATACATGATATATAAATTCATATACATTACAACAACAAACTAAAATCCCTTTGTATATTAGTAATTTAATTATAAGTACTAGGAATATTTTAGTAAACACAATACACTAGTCAAGGAGTGTTGGGTTTAGCCTAATACCATACACTACCTTTATTTGTATAAGTTGTAAAATCTCAAAACGTTCTCACTTCTCACCCCAAACCACACTTTGATTTAGCTCTCACAAGATTGTGCTCACTCTACCCTTGTACCCACTTGTAGTTGTGCATTGGAAATATCTCTCCATGAATAAAAACATACAAGGAGGCATTCCCAATAAATAGTCTTTGCGATGATTGAATCTGATCTCCCTAAAATTTAACTTCCAAACAAAATAAAAAAAATTGTTCGAAAAATCGAATTGCACCAGTCAATCATATTGGTTAAACTATGACCCGGGTCCTTGACTGGTTCGGACATACCAAAAAAATCACATTTGCTAAAAACCTAGTGAAAACAATCAGCTAATTGGAAAACTAGCAAACTTGCCTTAGTTTTCATGAAACCGCCTAGGTTATTAGATCATTGAAAATTTAAAATATATTTGATAAGGCTTGAACCTATAACCTCTTATTTTCAAATATTACTTAATTACCACTAGTCCACCTCTTCATTTGTATTAATTAATGACTATTTATTATATATTTCTTAATTACACACCCACTTTAAAGAAAATGTAAATTAAGACACTTGAACCCTAGTCATTTGCTTTAAAAATTAAAGAACTTGCCATCCATCCACCATATTTAAGTAAATTAAAATTGTAAAACATATTATATATAGTATTTATATGTAGGGTGTCTACGATTTGGTAAACCGAACCATGGGCAATATTTGCAAACCAAACAGGTACTACCAGCTTTTCCATTTATCTAAACTGAAACTAAACCAGTACCACCAGTTAACTGGTCTGCCGGTTTTGGGTTTTAACCGGTTAGGTTCTTTGGTTTTTAGGTTTTTTATATTTATAATATATATTATATAAATATATGTATAATATTATATTATAAATAATAAATGATATATAATATATTATAAATATTATGAAAATATAATATACATATATAATATTTATAAAAAGATGATTATAAATATAATATATGTATATATAATAAATATATTATATATAATATATAGAAAATATGTGACATATATTAAAAATCTGGGAAAATTTCTTAAACTACCCCTACTGTTTAGATAATTGGCAAGCTGTACCCTTACAGTTTAACTATTGTTTTAAACCACCCCTACTATTTGTGACAATTATCATCATCGTTAAATCGTAACAAAAATGATGAAATGTCCCTTTTGCCCTTAGTATTTTCTTCGTTTAACCTAATTATTCGCTACTATTCATTCTCCCTTCCTCTCGACCACCACTTGTACCCAAAATCCCCTGTTTGCTTATTTCCCTCATCGGTCATACACTATTTCTTTCGGGTCATACACTCTTTGCATCCATTGTCCGGAGAGAAATGGATTACACTCGGCTATGTACTCAAATCATGGGACCGGTCTTTAGTGGCATCCAACAATTGACCTCGGGATTGGCATGGGATAGCTTGCGATGAGCTAGGCTCTATGGCTGGTATTGTTCTTGAATTAGCGATTAAGGAGTAAGGGAAGTCACAAGTGGTGAGAGATGGGGATATTAACGATGTGTGCAAAATAGAAGTGATATTAACAATGCGTGCAAAGTATAAATGGTGCTTGACTGGATACCATGTGATGAGGTATTAATTGCATAGAGATGCAGAAGGGGATGAAGATTGAAGAGTTGACCTTCTTTTACTTTCATGCTTTGAATTTAAGAACCTCATTGCCTTTTTTTTTCCGGTTGTGCTTTTGTATTTTTTCGGTGGACTTCCTTCGGATCGTCTTTATGCTCCAGTTATACTTCCTAATACAACTGGAAGGGAACTTGCATGTGGCACATGTGCTATTTTGAAGATGAAAGTTGCGGCGCCCACACCTCACATGAAAGCTTCTTGTACCTTTTCCCATTGGCGTGGTTACTCATAAACCCTAGCTTCACAAGAGCTTGGAAAAATTGGCTTCGTTGCACCCATATTTGAGATCTAAGAGATACTCAAATAGTCAAATCTAAACTCAAATAATCCCCTATTTGGCATAACCAAAGTGGCACATCTGAGAGATACCTGATGATTTCTGGCAAGGTTGGTGAATGGCTTATTTGAGCAAAATGCGAAAAAAAAGCAAGAGTTTACCTATGTCAATGTCAAACCGTCTAACAATGAAGTTGATATTTATAGCGGACGAACTAGAGCAGACGGTTGAAAATGATGGAGAAACACTGTCTGGTGGAGAGGTGCAGCGAAGGGCTGAGTTCAAATAGGGAAGTTATAACAAGGGTAAGTTGGATATTTTTGGAAGTTATAAGAGTCACGAGATGCACATTTGGATGGTTTATGACGGAACGTTAATGGTAAGGGAAGTATTAGTCAATTGTTAGAAACAACAAGGGTAGTGTTAGTCAATTTTAAAACAGTAAGGGTACACGGTTTGATAAACTATCGATTTTTTTTGTAGGTTAATCGAAAATCGAATCAATTCTTTAGTTTTTCAAAACCGATCTATTTGGTTAATTGCTTTCTTCTTATTTGGTTTTCTTAGTTCGATTTTTCATGGACACCCCTACGTGTATATATATATATATATACACCACATTGTCACTCAACCCTAGTTGAATCTCTCTACCTTTTTGTGGTTCTATGATCATTCGGTAGGGTGGAAATCATCATCCGTATTTGGCGGGCAACCAATTCCATTCATGTTAATACCAAAAAAAGAATACCATTCATATTATGATTCCCAAAGATCCAAGCAGAGCATAGAGAAGTTCTGGTGTAATTTTATGCATACTTAAAAGGGGTATTCTGGTAATTATGTATAAAGGACAAGCATTTCTTCCAAAAATTTAAAAGTTGGATGAAGGTGACGACAATTCTCTTGCCCCGGGTCAAAACCCATCCGACCAAACAGCCGGTTCATGCGAATTCGTCGTTTAGTAGACAACGTTAGTGGCACATTCCGTAAATACAGATCAATCCAGCTCTACCGAGATTAAACGCGGTGGCCGAGACGACCAACGGTAAACGCAGAGATTGTGAGAAACGGAAAGAGAAAGAGATTCAGAAACCGGAAGAAACATAAAATTAAAGGAAAAAAAGGAATCTCCCGAGAGTCTCGTATAGAGGGACGGACAAAGATAGGGGTTTTGTCTCAATATCGTTCGATCCGTCAGTCTGTTTTTACGATCTTTCGTTGGAAACTCACATTAGGGCACGTTTGGTTGAGGTTTTTTTTTTTTTTTTTTTTTGTGCGATGCTTGATCTGCTATGAAAAACCTTGCAATGTTCCGATTCGAGGAGGAGAAGATTCGAAAGCGGCTTTGAGTGTCTGAAGAAATTTTGGGCGCCATGGCGGACGCTCTATCGATAATTCCAGCGGCTGTGCTTCGAAACTTATCCGACAAGCTTTACGAGAAGCGCAAGAATGCCGCGCTTGAGGTTTGTGTATTTTCATGCAATTTTGGTTATTTTCCTGTTTATTCTAATTGTCTAGGGTTTTTACTGGTTTAGGATACTTAGTTGCTTTTGGTAAATGTGAAATGAATGTTTCAGATTGAAGGAATTGTGAAGCAACTTGCCGCTGCTGGAGATCATGAGCGAATTACGGCCGTGATCAATCTTTTGACCACCGAATTTACATATTCGCCACAGGCGAACCACCGGAAGGTTTGTAAATGAGGGGCACTATATGCTTAGCATCTCTGTTGTAATTCTTCGTGTTTGTGCTGACTTAGATGTTAGATGTTTTTGATCATGTAATTGTCTTGTGCTTCGTTTTTGTTCCAACGTTTTTATATTTGTATTGCTTCAGGGTGGATTAATTGGCCTTGCTGCTGCGACGGTTGGCTTGACAACAGAAGCCGCTCAGCATCTTGAGGTAAGCAATTCAAGAACTGATGATGGTTTCTTAGGGCCCATTTATGGAGTTGGTTTACAGATCATTGTGTAATTTCTTGGCTGAAATAACTAAAACATTTTAAATTGGCTATGATTTGATAACTTTGCACTTGTGCATTTTGTGATGACTAGCTTGGATGGTAAAGTTGAAATGTCATGCATGACTGACAGAGACAATCCACCTTAACGTTGGTACGAGAATTAGTGTATATGGTATGTTAGACACACAATTGTGGAAACCATTTAAAGAAAACAAGAACACATAACTTTCAAAAACCAATGAGCTGACAGATCATATAACTACCTTGTGTTAATATTTAATATTAATTCTTGCAACTAAAACATCAGAGCAATACTGTTAAATGGAAATGCATTAAGTTATTTTAATTGATATATTAAAAAATGGACAAGGGGTCTGTAGTCACTGAAAACCTAAACAAGTGTCGTGGACAAGGGACAGCTTGTATTGGGGTCAAGTGATGTAATTGTACTGGTATGTTGCTTTTTCTATTACATATATTACAAGCTGTCCCTTGTAGCCCCCTGTTCTGCCAATCCACCAGTCAACCTGTTTGCAGATCTTGGAACCCATGATATGGTTGCTCTCAAAACACCCATATGTTTCCTATCTCCAGCACAACATATCTATACTTCCATGGAACCTCGTGGCTTCCCCTTACCCAGCCCACTACTACTTTGGGGTCCCCTTCTATAATTAGATTTGTGATATTCATGACTTTGGCTTTTCTTACTCCATGTAAAATTGCCCATGTTTCTGCCTTAAGAGAGTTTTCAATCCCTATGGCACCTGAGAAAATAATCACAATGTATCATGGGCAATATATTGAATTTATTATATGCTCAAATATGTAGCAACAGTTACAATATAATTGAGAAATTCTTTTGTAAAAGTCACAAATGGGTTGGGTCTGGGCTATGTCAGGGGAACTGCACCAAACTGATAAAGTAATGTGCCGATCCAATCCTGACACAACTTACCCAGTTATTAATTGAGCCTATTGTGTCTGACCCTATAAGACCAATTATAATTGACAGCTCTAATTCAACCTATAATTTGATAATATATCTTCTTATGTGATAATAAACTTAGTATTCTTTTAAACAAAGATAATAAATTCCTATTTATTAGACATTGCAAACATTGTTATCTTTTTTTTTGATAATATAATCAATTAAACTAGAAACTAACATCATAATATCCCACATATAACAGACCAAACATAGAACTGAAACATGTAAGACCTAAATAAATACCAAACCAAACTATGGAGGTTAACTTGATTTCAAGCTTATCCTATGAAGCTAAGCCTCAATATATCCCTTAAATCAATTTCAGAACATTTTTAAGGGAAAAAAAAAGAAAAAAAGGAAAAAAGGAAAGAAATCACTTGAAAACTTGTACCATGGAATAAACCTGTCAGGCTGTCATAACTCTTTTAACTCTGGACTCATGAAAATATTGTGTTTTCTTGCCTTGTGAAACATTGGATTTCCTTCAAAGATCTGATGATACTGTCAATTCCCTTGCCCTTGTTTTTTAGCCAACCCACCACCACCCCTGAGTTGCCTTCCACCTCCAAAAGTGTTGTAATTTAAAGATCTTGCCAATCTTAGTCCTCAAAATGCAATTGAAAATCGGTTTATTATGATGTCCTTTTACACCTTTTGCCCTTATCCATACAATAAGATATTGTTTAGCTGCACTACACCTGAAATTTATACACCCCAATCATAGTTTTCATGGTGTCTAGGCGATTCTAGGCGAAGTGGAGCACCTAGTTGCCTAGGAATTGCCTATGTAGGCAATAAAATTTCACAAAGAAAATACTAAATCCTATGTTAAATTGTTAATTCCATAATTTTGTATATTTCAATTAACATGCATATATTGAAAATGTAACTATGCTCTTTACTAATAACATTAATTTTCCAATTGATAGAAAACAGTAAGTTTTCTCTCAAAAAATAGAAAAAAAATCATTATATGTAAAAGGCAGGGATATTTTCAATTGGGCTTCCTAAAACTGAATTTTAATGGCAGCAGCCTTGGGAAACCTAGGTTTGTCAGGTATTGGGGGAGTATTCAGGAATGAGGAGGGGATTGTTTCAGCTATCAACTCTGGCCCTATTGGAGAGGGTGACTCTCTATGGGCTGAGGTCTTGGTGGCATTGGAGGGAGTTCAAAGAGCAAGGGAATTGAACATTAGGAGACTGATAATTGAAGGGGACTCGGAGGTGGTAATAAGATGGCTAAAGGAAGACAATGCTGCTATGTGGAATTACAGCAATGAAAGGAAACATTTAAATGGCTGGCAGAAGATACTGAGATAAAATTCAGTTGGGTGTTGAGATCTGCTAACTCATTTGTGGATGGGTTAGCAAAGCAAGGGGTGATTAGGGATTCTTTGTTTTGGTCTCATTTCTAATCCTGTAATTTTGTTTTGTTGGTTGCAATTTGCAAGGGAGTTAAGATAGCTTACCTCCCTCTGCTTGTATGTATACTTCTTATTTAATCTTAATGAAATTCTTGGTTATTGATAAAAAAATCAATCAATTGCTTTTAATATTTCAAACACAATGCTGTAACATAATATATATTTAGTAGAGCGATTGCATATCAGAAAATTATTAAAACTAAATAAAGATATAATCTTTACTAACCAAAACCTTTTGAGAGGGAGAGTAAAGAAAAGGGAGAATAACATGGGGAGATACTTTTTCTATTTAATGTAAGAGAGGGAGAAACTGCAGAAAAAAGGAGAAAACCTCTTACTTTTCTCTACCTTCTTTATGTTTCTCTTGTGAAAACCCTTGTATTTGTTATCCTTATATATAGGCAACAGATAAATTTGATTAGTGAGGAGACCGCTGCTTAAAAAGCAGCAGGCTTAAGCAAAGTACAGCAGGTTTCCAAAAACATCCAAAAACAAAACCAGCTCCAGAAGACATGGAGCTCTAACAACAGAAATACAAACAGAAACCAGAAGTGATCAATAAATATTACAAGTCCCTCTAAGGCTGTCACGAGGCTATCTTGGTCTACTTCTTTCAGTGGATTTATTAAGCTGAACTTTGATGGTAGTAGTGAAGGAAATCCTGGTCCCTCAGGCATAGGAGAAATTTTCATAAATGATGAAGGCCGAATTGTTGCTCTCTTTTCAGGTCCTATAGGTGTGGGAGACTCCTTGAGGGCTGAAATTCTAGCTGTTATGGAAGGAGTTCAAAAAGTGAAGGAATTGAATATTTCTAAACTGGTAATTGAAGGGTATTCAAAGTTGGTTATAAGTTGAATTCAAATGGAGGTGGAGATAGGTTGGTGGGAAGGAATCAGATCCTGCTTCTTCAACCAGAAGATTAAAGGTTGACAATCACCTTCCACCTCCACATTTTTTAAGTCCTTTAGCCTCAATTCCAACCCCTGAATTAAAGCTTTATTTTCAGCCCTTGGGGAGTTGCCTAACCCAATAGGCTCAGAGTAGCTTAGTAGGATGATATATGATAGGATCTATTTTCAAAACCAGAATAAAAAATAGGTTGTATAGGTATTAACAAGCATAATAATAAGTAGCCCTAGTAATGATATTACAATAAAGCACCAGTCTTGAAATTTTTGTTGCCTAAGTTGGCGCTTAGTTGCTTAGACAACCACCTTTTGTATATAAGCCATGGCATTTTGGTGAGGCACCAAACCAAGTGCACCTTGTTGCCTAGGTGATGCCTTGACAATCATGCTCCCAATACAAAAGCACCAAGGTGAGGCATAAGGCAACTCCCAAAGAACGCCTTATCACCTAGGCATTGCCTATGATGAAAGTTTACTTGCCCTTTAATGTTATATTTCATACAAGAAAACTGAAGTTTTAATACTTGTCAATAAATAGAATGAACTGAGCCATTCTTGCTGTTGTCACATGAAAGTTTTAAGTCTTGTCAATATTAGTGGCCAAGTTGGCTGAAGTCTTAGATGTAATAGTGTTATTTAGTGTGACATACAGGAAGCAAGTTTGATTAGTTAGATGTAGTGAGATTCACATTCATAATAGGAAATTGTAATTGTCTTCTGGAAATAAAATAATTTACCCATATCTCAATTGTTTTCACTTGGGATAGTTGGGTTGCTCCGTTGTGACTTGGGCGACCGGGGTCAATTCTTGAAAACAGCCTCTGTATGTGCAGGGGTAAGGGCATAAGGCTGCATACATTTGTCCCTCCCTGGACCCCGCATTGGTGGGAGCCTCATGCACTGGGCTGCCCTTTACTGTCAAAGCAAAACATGAAGCTTGTGAGATATGGGGCTAGGTTCATTGTACTTCCCTGTATCTGATTCATATCCTCACACTTTTGGGATACTATGTACATGCTATCTTTCTGCAAACTTTTATATTTATCATTTATTCTATATACTAATGAAATCACTAGTTACCTACTCAAAAATGGTTTGCATGTTTGATGTTCTTTCCTCATTATATCGTCATCGTCTAAGTGTTATCCCAGCTATATGGAGTTTGCTGCACGAATCCTGTTTCTCCTTTCCTTTCTGTTTAATGCCATATCCATTGTTAAGCCATGTGTGCGTAAATCATATCTTACTACTTCGATCCATGTCCTTTTTGTTTGCCTGCCCCTAGCCCTTTTAGGCCCTTCAACTTGTAACTGTTTGCTATTCCTTATGGGTGCTTTAGGTGGTCTTCTATGCACGTGACTGAACCATCTAAGTCTACTTTATCTCATTTTATCACCTATGGGAGTTACTCCTAGGTTCCTCCAAATAACTTCATGTCTGACCCTATCCTTTCTGATTTTTACACTCATCCATTTCAGCATATGTATTTCTGCCACACTCACTTTTTGGACGGTTGCTTCTTGACTGCCCAATGCTATGCTCCAAACAGCATTGTTGGTTTTACACTGTTTTATAGAATTTTCCTTTTGATCTAAGTGGTATTTGCTTATCACATAAGACTCCAGATGCACACCTCCATTTTGCCCACCCTGCTCTAATTTTATGGGCAACATCTTCCTCAATCTCTTCTTTCCCTTGTTATGAATTACCAAGGTACCGGAAAAGGTCACATTGAAGTATCTCTTGGTCTCCAATCCTAAGTGTACCTTGATTTACACCCCTGTTATTATTAAATTTACATTACATATATTCTGTTTTACTCCTTATTTTAAAACCTCTAGTTTCTAAGGTATCCTATTTATATTTCATTTCTTTTGGTATCAGCAAATTGTACCACCTGTTCTTAATTCCTTCTCTGATCAAGATAGCAGAGTTCGATATTATGCTTGTGAAGCCTTATATAACATTGCAAAGGTGAGAGTGGATCAGTTGGCTTTTACTCCATTGTATTATTATCCAATTATTTTCTTTGTGATGTTTTTAATATGTTGCTGTTGCAGTAACCATCGTCTCTAGCTGGTGTGCAGGTTGTAAGAGGAGATTTTATTGTATTTTTCAATCAGATCTTTGATGCACTCTGTAAGCTTTCAGCAGACTCTGATGCTAATGTGCAAAGTGCTGCTCATCTTTTGGATCGACTTGTAAAGGTAATCGATTACTTTTATTCCATCTTATTTTGGCTTGTTTTGCTCATATTTTATAAATGCATATGCAATATTTTTCTTGATCAGTTATGCATATGCACATATTGATCTTATGCCTTTGGATAAACAGGATATTGTAACCGAAAGTGATCAATTCAGGTGAACTGTCTTCACTTCTAATTTTATATGTTCCAATTTTGATTTAAAGGCCAAAATTTGAAAATTTGAATACGAGCTTTGAAATTTGGTTAACTGACCAATTTATTGTTTTTGTGATCTGCATCAGTATTGAAGAATTTATACCATTGCTAAGGGAGCGCATGAATGTCTTAAATCCCTATGTCCGCCAGTTTTTGGTAGGATGGATTACTGTATTGGATAGTGTTCCGGATATTGACATGCTTGGTTTTCTGCCAGATTTTCTTGATGGTAAATATTTTTTTTTTCCATATCAAGGTCTGAAAGTTTCCTTTAAAGTGATTGGTAACTGTAATTACTCGTAGATCTTCTCCAAATTTCAGGTTTGTTCAACATGTTAAGTGATTCTAGTCATGAAATACGCCAACAAGCTGATTCAGCACTTTCTGAATTTCTCCAAGAGATCAAGAATTCTCCAGTAAGATTTCTGTTAATGTGGTAGGGGGAGGGGAGTTCTTTATTGATCATTTTTATTTTATTTTTTCTTTTGAAAATGTAAGCATTGATCAGTGTAAATGGGCAAACTACATCAACACCCATTTACACCAAGGAACTATGGGAACGTACAGGGCTATCCTTTATTGTTCATTTTTATGTATTTATGTAGACACATAACCTTATCCTTGAGAGACTGGTAGAAGATAGTGAAAGTTTTAAAGCTTTTGGTTTAAATTAATATGCAGGATGTGTCATAATTTGTAGAAGTGAAAAAAACATTTAATGGTTCTCTCTCTCTCTCTCTCTGTTTTTAAATTTTCTGACTTAAGCAGTGCTGCTTTGAAGTCTGTAGATTACGGTCGCATGGCTGAAATTTTGGTGCAGAGGGCAGGTTCTCCAGATGAATTTACTCGGCTCACAGCTGTGACATGGGTAAGGTGTTTGACATGTTATTGGATCACAGTAAACAGTCAGGCTGTCGGTTTCATATATTGGATTTATCTTCATGCTTAGTAGTGTAGTTTTTCCTATATTTCTTATCTCTGTAAAGGAGAATTTACTGTGCTATTATGAATTTAAACAAATGAATAGTTATTGATGTTTAATATCAGTGAGTAATGATACTAAGTACATCTGCTCGAGCATGCAGATAAACGAATTTGTAAAACTTGGTGGAGATCAGCTCATTCCTTACTATGCTGATATTTTGGGAGCCATTTTGCCCTGCATATCCGATAAAGAGGAGAGAATAAGAGTGGTATGGCATTCTTCTCTTGCACTGAAGTCAATATAATTGCATGTAGCAACCAACCTTTTTTATCATGCATCTCATATTGGTGCGCCTTGCATTTATTTTTGTTAGGCTGCTCGTGAAACCAATGATGAACTCCGTGCAATCAGGGCTGATCCAGCTGAGGGATTTGATATTGGTGCTATCCTTTCCATTGCAAGGAGGTGCAGTTTTTGTCACCTGGGAAAACAGCTAGGTTTTAAAGGTTACTAATGCTTCTGTAATCTGTGGGTTAATGTAGCTCCTGTGCTTCCAAGAGAGCAACAGGAGAAAGCTGTGAAGAAGGGCTAATTGTTTCATATTATATGATTGTTCGTTAACAATATTCATACTGAATGGCTTTGCCACAAGGTAAAATGACCTAGATTGTGATTACCAAGTTCTGTTTTCCATCAGGCAATTATCTAGTGAATGGGAGGCTACTAGAATTGAGGCATTGCATTGGATTTCAACTCTTTTAGCTAGACATCGTGTTGAGGTAATCACAAAAGCTTTCCTAAAATATGATGGCATGCATGTATACTTCAAATCTGTTGTATGATTTTTTTTTTCAATTTTTTTCTGCTTTAGAATGTTGACCTAAAGATTTGTCTTCAAAATTCCACAAAAATATGGATATGATTGAAGAGAATGCTAGGATTTTGCAAGGGCAGAATGAACTATTGGATCATTAGAATCTGATCCATCTTTTTTTTTTCTTTTTTTTTTTTCACTTGCTAAAATCAAGCAAGAATTGATTCTTGGAAGATTTGAGATTTCAGTGGTGAAATCTCTTCCTTTTGTGCCTCCTTGTTTAGATAAGTTAGAGAGCCTGTTGTTTGAGACATTAAGGGCTGTGTGCGAGGTGTTTAATGTTTGTTCACCAGTATTACATGGACTCTCCTGAAAGGATGATATATCCATGTCAAACACAAATCATTCTGATACTCCATGATGCCTTGAGGGACAACTATGTGTAACATTCTCTCATCTCTTAGATTATTTGAAATGAGCGAACAGTTAATGTAGAAGATGAATTCCTAATAGCTAATGAATGTGCGGAGGACTTCAAGGAAGGGGAAAGAAAGGCTTTGTTTGTAAATTGGATCTAGAGAAAGCGTATGATTTAGTAGATTGGTCATTCTTGATAGAAACCTTGAGGAATTTTGGTTTTGGAGATAGGTGGTGTGGTTGGATTGAAGGCTGTGTGGCAACCGCTCATTATTTTGTGTAGGTTAACAGAGTGGTTAGAGATTTCTTTCTAGCTATTAGAGGACTGAGACAAGGGGATCCCCTCTCTCCCTTCCTCTTTACCTTGATACAGGTGTTTTCAGTAGACATATCTCTAGAGCGGACAGGCTGAATTTGATTAGAGGATGGAGGGTTGGAAGAGGGGGTGTTATTGTTACACCCCTACAGTTTGCATATGACACTATCCTCTTTTGTGAGACCGGGGACCCTCAGATAGCAAGGAATTTGAAAGGGGTGATAAAGTTGTTTGAGGTTGTGTCAAAGTTAAAAATTAACTTTCAAAAGAGTTGTGTAGTGGGGCTGAATTTGGAGGAGGAATTGGATGAAGTAGCCAAGGTGTTAGGTTGTCTAACATCTAATTGGCCATTGAGATACTTGGGTTTACCATTAGGAGCCAACCCTAGGGAGGGAAGTTTTTGGAATCTTGTGGTGGAAAGTTGTGCTAGGAAATTGGCGACCCGGAAGAGAAATTATGTGTCACTTGGGGGTTGAATCACTCTAATTTAATCCACCCTAGCGAATCTCCCAATTTACTTCCTTTTTATATTTAGGATGCTGCAAAGGGAGGTGGTGAAAGTAGAGAAGGTGATGAGGCACTTTTTCTAGGAGCTTGGAGAAGGAAAGAAGGATCATTTGGTTAGATGGGAGTTAGTATGCAAGAGAAAGGAGTAGGGGGTTTGGGATTGGGTAACCTAGAGAAGAAAACTCAGCTCTATTGGGCAAATGGCTTTGGAGAGGGAAAGACTTTGGCACAAAGTTGTAGGGAGTATACATGGAGCAGAAGGCAATGGTTGGGATGCTGGCATTTCTCGAAGGGCCACGTTGAACTAGGGGTGATCATGGGCCAGGCCGGGCTTTGCACTTACGATAAGGGCTATAGCTTAGGCTCGGGCCCGGCCTGGCCTGGGGTTCTGGGCTTGAAACATAAGCCCTAGCCCGGGTCTATACGGGCCTAGGCCAGGCCGGGCCTGATTCTGGGCTAATGTCTTTCATATATATATATATAACATTACATATCTATAATATTTTATATTAAATGACATAACATGCATATAAACTTATTTTATACATTATATAATATAAAATATTACATATAATATAAATTATACATGTTATGTTATAATATTCATATATAAAATATATATTATAATGTAAAATTTGTATGCATATGTATACATTATACACAAAATGTGTAAGTTTAAATTAAATATATGTGGGCCGGGCCGGGCTTGAAGTATTAAGCCCAAGCCCGGCCCTAAAATTTGCGGGCCTGATGTGGGCCCGGGCCTGGGCCGGGTCTGAACACAAAACCTAGGCCCAAGCCTGGAATTTCCGGGCCAGGCTGGGCTGAAATGATCACCCCTACGTTGAACTCTCCTTGGAAGGCAATCTATGGCATTCTTCCCCAATTCTTAAACTTGATCGGCTATTCGGGTATGATGTATGTTCTAGGGGTTTTTGTTGGCTTTTTGGTTTAATGAAATACTTTACGTTACAGTTCTCAAAAAACAAAATGATGTACTGGGGATAGGGTTCTTTTTCGGGAGGATTTATGGATTGGTAATTCGACCCTCAAGGACCTTTTTCCGTCCTTGTATTTCCTCTCTTGCTTTAAAAATGAACCAGTTCAAAGGTTTGTCTCGTTCTCCTTGTCTTCAGGCTTCAGTTGGGATTTGGGTTTCAGGAGAGATTTGAGAGATTCTGAGCTTGACCAGACTGAACAGTTACTTTGTTTGCTTGATTCTATCTGTTTGGATCCTTCTAAACCGCATGCTCGTATTTGGTCCCCTAATTCTTCGGGTACCTTCTCTTGCGCCTCCTCCTTTTCTTCCTTATGCTCTGCCCCTAGCTCTCAGCCTTTTCCTTGTAAAGAGGTTTGGTCTAAACCCCTTTCTCCTAAAGTGGGAGCTCTTTGTTGGGAGGCCTCTCTTGAGAAACTAAACACCTTGAACAACTTGCAAAGAAGAAGACCTTATCTCAGTATCTTCCCCAATTGGTGTGCCTTTGCAAAGCAAATGGAGAAAGTTGTTACCATTTACTAATATCCTGTCCTTTTGTTGTAGGTCTGTAGGAAAAGCTTTTTATTCTTTTTGGATGTAGGTGGACAATGTCGATGCAGATTAGAAATCTATTTGGACCTACAACTTTCAGGTGGCCTAAGAAAAGAGGTAAAGTCTTGTGGAGGTGTGCTAGGGCTGCATTGGTTTGGACTGTCTGGGGGGAAAGAAATTCCGAAATTTTTGATGAGAAAGAAAGGAATGAGTTCATTGTTTGGGAATGTTTAATTAATAGATCCATCAATTGGGTGAAGATTTTGGGACTATGTTCTCCCTTCTCTTTTGATGATTTATGGAGAAATTGGGAAGTGGTTGCCAAAAGTTCTAGTATGAGAACTAAAGTGACGGCAGAATGGAAACCTCAGAAGGCTGATGTTGATCAATGTTTTAAAACACGGAGGCGTGAGGTGTTCCACTACCTAGAGGCGTGAGGCGTAGTTTAGAATGTAAGAGGCGTAAGCCTCTTTAAGAGGAGGGGGGTCAGGAGGAAGGAGGAGGAACAAGAGGAAGGGGGGATCTCATTTTTTCTTTATTTTTAATAAAAATCTTTTATATTAAGAAGAATAAAGGTGCATAGCACTAGTTAAAGGGGGGGGGTCTTGTTGAAGTGGAAGCAAAGCTTGCTCGTTGGAGCGGAGCAAGACCCCCCCTAACACAGAAAAAATGGCTGCATTGAAAAGGGGGAGGGGTTTGGGGGGCTTTTCCCCCCAGCCGAAGGGGCCGGGGGTAGACCACTTTCTTTGCCCTTATCTTTTCTTCCCTTCCCTTTTCTTTTCTTTCCTTTTCTTTTCTTTTCTTTCCTTTCCTTTTTTTTTCTTTTCTTTCTTTCTTTTTCTTTTTCTTTCCCTTCCCTTTATTTTCTTTTCCTTTCCTTTCCTTTTTCTTTTTTCTTTTTTTTTTTCCTGTGTTTTTGTATGAGGTGTGCATGAGGCGCATGAGGCATACACCTCTAGCATGCCTCATGAAAAAAGCGTATGAGGCGTATGCCTCAGAGGTGTCAGCGCCTCTTGCATATGCCTTGGGGCGTTTTGGGGGCGCCTCGCCTGGAGGCGCACCTCTAGGTGTACGCCTCCCACGCCTTTTAAAACAATGATGTTGATCACCTTTGGCCTGTACTAAGGTTTAGATTTCTGCAAGAAAACATAAAGAGAAAGAGAAAAACAGAAGAGAGAAGAGAGGAAGAGAAGAGAAGAGAAGAGGAGAGAAGAAGAATGAGAAGAAGGGAGCAGTTTTTTTCTATTCTGCCACCCAGATTTTGTATTTATAGGTTTCTATCATAAAGTAACTTACAAAGACCACTATACCCCTACTGACTAAGACTACTTAACAGAATATAACAATAACTAATGTAGACCCAAACTGATAAAATAAAGAAATAACTTAAAGAAATAACTACTACACTGTTTCTTTACAACCTCCTCAAGAGGGTCTCATTAAGCTCAACTTTGATGGTAGCAGTTTAGGCAATCTGGGACCTTTCGGTGTTTGGGGAGTGTTTAGAAATACGGGGGGGTTAATTGTCACCTTATATTCTTGCCCTATAGGAGTAGGGGATTTAGTTAATGCAGAAATTCAAGCAGTGTTACAAGGAGCTGAATTTGCCAAGGAACTGAATTGTGAACAGCTTTTAATCGAAGGTGATTCCAAGCTAGTGATCCAGTGGTTAAAAGAACCAGAAACAAAAGCGTGGTCCTATAAGGGGGCTTTACAAAGATTCAAATGGCTAACTACAAACATGTCAGTCCAGTTCCAACGGGAAAGAAGATCAGCAAATGGGTTAGCAGACTCACTAGCTAAACAGGGGGTGCATAGGAGTCATACGTTTTGTGCTAAACTGTAATTCTTTGTTTTAATCTGAGGCTGCATCTTGTGCCTCATTTTGGGAACTCTCTGTGTATCTTTTTGCTCCTAATCTTTTAATAAATCATTCATTACTCATAAAAAATGTAGAAGATGAATGCCTATCAAATGTTACTTAGCAACAAAGGCAACATTTTAGACCCCTTTTGCGTAAAATTCAAAATAAAGCTGAACTGTGTTAATAATATATGCTTCAACATAAATGTGTTTGCCAGAGCACATTTTTTTGTTTTATGGAGTTAGACTCTTGGATACATATTAGATCCTGACTCTTCTGTCAGTGTCTATGCAACATTTTTGTTGACTAGTTGCAGTTATGAAGAAATCAAGAGATAAAATTACCATCTAATATTTAGTCTGCTAATTTCAGTTTGAGCATGGTGGAATTTGGGCTTGGATATAGTGATGCTGTAAGCATCCCTATTACAACAATCAAACTCAATGGGGCAAATTACCTCAAATGGAACATCTGACTAGATGTCTATTGGTGGAAGCCCAGAAGGAGTAAATTGGGATACTTGACAAGCAAGGTGGCTAAGCCTGTTATAGATGATTGCAAGTATGCATGTGTGTTTGATAGATTAGCCTCAAAGTATTTAAATTATAATATATATTAATATGTATTATTTATACTATAATTCTTTATTCATTTGATGATACAGTTTATTTTTCATATGGAATTTGTATATTTATTTCTTTATTACATATATTTATTTTAATATGAACCATATGCTTTTAAAATTTTATTTGGTATTGTATTTTATTGCTAATAACCTTCTTTTCCTAAATAAAATAACCCATTTACTTAATTTGTATATTTACTTTATTTACATATATTCTAGTGTATTTTCAATATAAACTAATTTATATATTTTTAAAATTCATATTTTTTATCATATACTACCTTGTTGGAACTAAATGGCTTGTAAGTGAGAGTGGATATAACGAGTTTGACAATTTAGATTGTATTAATAGATTTTATTTCATTTATTTTTAATTAATATAAAAATCATAAATATCATTTATAGTTCTTAGATGGGTGGGTCTCATTATCATGTGTTATAAGTAATGAATGGAGATGCTATTCTCACATTTGGTACATTGAGACATAGAATAGCATGTTATGATTATCACATTTAGTAAGAGAAAAACAGTGAGATTTTGGGTTGGGATATATTATGAGAGATTTTTGAGTGTAACCAACTAACTTATAAAGCTTTATTATATTTTGGAGGGTATTGTGTATTAATAAAGTTTTATTATATATATATTATTTTTTTCTCAATTTTAATGATACTTAGATGAGGCCTACACCTCACCTACCTCTTCTCACAGAAAAGGCAGGTAAGGAAAGGCGGTTTGGCTCTGCCTCACCTCAAGGTCTATGCCTCACTTCCCTTTAAAGCAGTGCTCTAAATTGGAAAAAGAAAATTTTAATGGTAATGTTGTGACTTGTTAATTTTATATAAGTATAACCACTTATTAGTAGGAATATCTTTTCCTGACTTGTAAAAGAAATCTAGGATAAGGTCAAGGGTAATTATTAATAGGCACTAAATCTTGCTCAAGTGTATAAAGGTCAACACTATTCATTAGGGAGAGAAGGTCCTAATGATGTACTACTCATCCCTTCAGGCCTTGTGGGAAGTGGTTGATTATTATGGGAGTATTGGGTGGGACACTGATTCTGATATGGAAATATTCATCAAATTGATAAAAAGGAATAAGGTGTTTGAGTTTCTTCTTTCTTGTAGGGCTAAACCCAGAATATGATATGACTGAACAACAATTGTCAGTTGTGACATTGTTTGTCTTTGTCAGGTCTATACTTTAGTTCACGGGGAGGAGAACCATTGGTTTTCTATGAGATACTTCATTGTGTAGTATTCTGCTTTGTCTCCTTCAAGCTGAAACTTGAAAGGTACTTCTGAAAAGGTGGTTTAGGGAAATTTTAAGGAGGAAATGAAGTATGACTACTGTGGGAAACTGTTACGGTCCCGCGCGTAGGATCCTGTCACGAGTCGGTCCATGGTGCGAAAGCCCTGCTTCCCCTGGCGTGTAGACCCTATTGCGGAAACTGAATGGGTGATTTGTCCAAGAGACCACCCGAACTCTCCYTTGGGGTGATTTGTCCAAGAGACCACCCRAACTCTCCTCACTCTTTTCTTGGCTGGAAAACTGAATGCTTTATTTCAATTCGTGGCTCCTTAAATAGGAGCTTACAGAAGGAAATTCCTAATTAAACTCAAACTCCAAYTTGAACTCAAACTCCTAATTACCTACTCCTAWTGGTAACTCACTMTTACTTAAGATAAGATAAAGATGAGATTAAGATAAAGCTAAGGGATAAGGGATAAGATAAGGATAAGGTAAGCTGGCGGCGAGTTGGCTTGATGTGTCCAGATAAGGGTGGGCCCACCCCTATGAGCTGTCGTGTGGGCCCCGCTCTACTGCTGCTGCCCGGGTGCGTGCGCGCGGCTCATGGTGCCACTGCCGCGCGGTGCGTGCGCGCAGTGCTGCTGCCGCGCAGTGCGTGCGCACGCCTCAGGGTGCCGCTGCCGTGCACGCGCCTCATGGTGCTGCTACCGTGCTGCTGCCTGGCGGTGTGTGCTGCGCGCCATGGTGCTGCTGCCGTGCGGTGCCGGGCGTGTGCATGGTGCGTGCTGCTGTGCGGTGCGTGCGGTGTGCGCTGCTGCCTGGCGATGCGTGCTGCGCGCTATCGGCGGTGCATGCTGCAGTGCTGCCAGGCGGTGCCCACTGTTGTGCGGCCTGTTGTGTGGGCTGCTGCCTATGACTGCGCCGCGGTACCTTGCCGGATGGTGTGACCATAACAGAAACCAAGGTGCACTAAATATTTTTATTGGAAGCTGAATTCAATCCATAATCGAGACTGGCCAGATTCATGAAAGAAGATGGGAATAGAGAATATATGTAGAGCACAATGTAAAAAAGAAGAGAACTGCTATGTGGACAACATCTATGATACCTGGATATCTGTACATGCTTAGCATGCCAGTATTGGATATGGTACTGAATACTGCATGGATACTTCTAGATGTGCTTTTATTTATTTTTGATAAATGATGGTAATTTTATTATATCATAAATAGGTTCAAGATTGAAAGCTCATACATCACTTGGAGAGGCGCAAGTTGCAGCCTCCAACAAGATACAAGGAAAATAAAAAGCAACACAGATCACAATTGAGCCCAGAAAAGGTCTTCCTTGTTTGCCCCTTGCTTGGCTAACACATCCGCCAAAGCATTTGCTGATCTGCCCATAGAAGTAGACATATTCCTTATCAGCCATTTGAACTTCTTGATTTCATTTTTGTAACATCAAGCAGCATTCTGGGGGTTATTCAGCCAGCTCACCACTACCTTTGAGTCCCCTTCAATAATCAATTGCTCTACCTCTATCTGGTTTGCAAAAAGAACCCCTTGTACAGCAGCTAGTAATTCTGTCCTAACAGAATCTCCATGTCCCAGAGGACCACTTCTAAAACAGAGAAGGTTCAGATCAATAGAGAAGAGAGGGAAATAGGATTTTCAGAGAAAGGAATTGTGGTTGTCTCCCAGCCCCTAAGATACTTTTATTTGATCTAAACATAATTAGAAGTATAGTACCATAGTTACAAGAATGCCCTAAATAGGGTGGCTGCTAGAATAAACAGATAATTGGACCTTAGACCTATTACAACTAAAAAAAGAAAGTGAACAGCATCGGCTTGGGCCATCAGTTCAACAATTAGAAAGGGAAAGAAAGATGCACGAGCTTTAAAACTGCTGCCAAACCTGCTCTGGTACCATATAGTTAATTGAGAAGAGAAGAAAAGAGAAAATAGAGAAAAGACAGGTTTGAAAAATGTTCTAAGTGGTTTGGTGGCACCCACTTAGTTATAATATATTAGGATGTTACAAAGATGGATAAAAAGACAAGTATGCCCTCGGGTACACCGTACACCTAAGTTACATAATATATCATTAGATGCAGCATTACAACACAATTCATTATTGGAGGAGTGCGAATTTATAATCCAGTTATTTATTTCTTTTAGTTGTGTTTGTGAAGTTTCTTTGGTAATTACCATTGGATCATTCTTGAAGATAAACCATCAATTATTGTTGATCTTAATTTAGTAATTTCACAACGTACCAAATTCATGTGTTTGAATCATTTTCTTCAAGGGTCTTTTCTTTCAGACCCCTTACCAAACTAAATATTTGTTTGGGTTATATAATGGGCCTTTTGAGTTTGTTTTCCATCCATACATATATTAGTTGGCATTGAAGTTGAAATTGATTATATCACCAATAAAAATTATCAATTCACATCCGTCGTTTTGTTAATTATAAGTATTTTTTGATTATATCATCTACTGGTTAGTGCAAAAGTGGTAATCTTGGTGATAAGAATTATTCATATGGTTGATGTATATTGTAAATGGGGAAGAATAGTATTCCATCTGTTTGTCATTTTGTCGTGTCTGTGTATATGCATTTTAGTATTTGAGAATTTCTAAAAAGCAGAAATAGTCTTATTATGTAAAATACAATTCCTTTATCCTTTTTCCTGAACAGGTCTTATCTTCCTTGAATGACATATTTGATACTCTTCTTGGAGCATTATCGGATACTTCTGATGAGGTGATTGCTTTTTCCTGGTTTTCTCCTTTATGCATGATCTTGTTTTTGGTTCATCTTTTTTTTTGATAAGTCTTGTTTTCAGTTCATCTTAATGTTGGATTAGTTTTTTAAGTTGGTATTTTGCTCTTAGAAGTTTTTTTTTTTTTTTTTGTCTCTCTGATGTCTGATATTGAGAGAACATTTTCTTTATTGATTGTTAAAATATGTATACTCACTATGTATTAAAAAAAATAGAGAAAGATTTATAAGTGCATTGATTTCCTAGAATATGATTTTGTTCATTGATTTTCTCCAGTATCACATACTGAATTAGTTCTAGTCAAATCTTAGCAAAGTATATGGTTTAAAGCTTACTGTTCTCTGGAGTTATTTAAGTTACTTCGTTAATCAAACTCCCTTTTTCTCATGTGTTGTTTGAGTTATGTAAGTTACTCCCCAAGAACAATAGAAAATAGAAGAACAAACACCAAAAGAACCTAATAGTTCATATCTGATGATAATCAACTCCAGATTTGATTGTTATCAATATGCATCATCAGTCTTCTTATTTCTTATGCCATCTTGTTTTTCTAGTTTAAGAACAATATGATATCTCCAAAAATAAATAAATAAAAGTTGGGTGGCAAGGGAATCAGTTATGACCTTTCAATGGGTGCAAAGATCAGCAAATGCCATGGCTGATGCTTTTTCTAAACAATGGGCAATAGGGAACAAATGTTTTGGGCTCAGACATAAATTGGCATAAATATGGGGTGCGTGGTTAGTCCAGCCTCAAGCTATGCAAACATTTTATTCTAAGAAATAGTAATAAAAATTTGTTACCTATGAAAAAAACAACAAAAGTAAAAATAATAGGAGTTTTTACAAAATAAATGACAAAATCAGTTATGCTTTTAAAATAATGACAAAAATGGTGAGCGAGAAAGATTTTTAATTTTTTAGGACAACATTGCCCTCAACTAAGAGAATTTGTCTGAACACTATTCAACTTCTTCTACCTTTCGACACCGATGAAATCGACTATCCGTCTCTCGATAGAGGCGGTGGAACAGTGGGACACCCCTCTCCTCTCCAATCTCTCTCACTCTCTCCTCACCGATTCTCTCTCCCTCCCTCTCTCTCTCTCTCTCTCTTCTAATCATTCTATCTCTCCACCCAATCGCCGAAGACACGGTTCATCTTCTCCATTTGACACAACAGCGGCAGAGGACAAATTTCCTCCTAATCATTCTCTCTCTCCACCAATAAGAAGTGATTTGTTTCAAGTTGAAGGGGCTAAAAGGGCTAGGGATAGACCAAAAAGGACTTGGGTAGATGTAGTAAAAAATGATTTAAGCGCCAATAGTTTAACAATGGATATGGCTTTGGAAGAATGAAATGGAAAAATTGGATTTAGGCAGATAATCCCATATAATTGGTTTTACACTTTGATGATGATGATGAAGCTGTAAACATTGCTCAATTATTCTCTCCCAAAGTTTCATAGGCACTATAATTAACCCCATGGTAATTATTAAAACTTTGTATTTCACCTTTGTTTTTAAATATAGGCACTATAGTGTTCTTTCTCTTTCTCCATTCATCAGGCATCTTTTTTTTACTTTTATTAAGTAGTTTAGTTAGCCATAACAAGCCTAACTTTCCTAGACCTTTCAACACTTTTATTGGAATCACAGCAGGTCCTAATGCCATTCCCTTAAGCATCTTATTTAAAACCTCCTTTACTTCATTAATTCTAATTTTATAAAGATACATGTTATTATTGGCACTATTAAGTTACTCCCCCCCGATAGCACCCTTTACATGTTGTTCATTTAATAAAATTTCAAAATATTTCCATTTTTCATTCCTTTCTCTCATCTTTGCTGGTTTATATATTCCATTTTCTTCCTTTTTAGAGTCTAAATGATGATAGGGCTCATCATATGCTTTAAATTTAACTTAACATACTTTCTTTTTAACTTAATTTTTATTGTTTTATATTTTTATAAGTTTTCCCCATTTTTAGTCTTTTGTCAATCTTTATATATGTTCGTTATTATAAAAAATAAAGAACTCAGCTTGGTATGACATCATCATCATCATCAAAGCCTTGTCCCTGACTGTATGAGGTTGCTACTTGAGTCCTGTTGCCATTCCATTCTGTTTAGTGGCATAAGGTGTCATGATGCTTTTGAGAAACTGAAAATGACAGAAATACCTCTGCAACCACAACCTATTAATAAACCAGAAAATAATAATAGAACTAAAATAATAAATAACTGCCAAACAGAAACATATTCAGGAGGAGGTTCAGAGGTGCATGTTGTTTTTACATTACTGCTCCATTTGTTCTTGTTATAAATCTAGAGAACTGCAGATTGGATCAGGAATGTTGCTTAAGTTTGTGGTTCTGGTTAATAGGAGTTATATGCAAATTAAATATATGTTCTGGTTAAGTTTGTGGTTCTGGTTCAGAGGTGCATGTTGGCTTTCTGTATTTGCATGTTCTCAATTCTCGTTATTCTTGGTTCTGTAATGGCATGGTTAACTACAACATTTAAGTGGCATTAAGGATCCATTTTCCAAGGTTTTCCATTTACTGCTTTATCTGCCCATGGCATTTTTCTTATTAAGACAAGTATGGATGCATTCTGTATATTTGTCTCTAACCTTTATTTTGCGCTCAATATATTTCTGTGCTGGCAGTATGAGAAATCTTTGTATAAAATCAAGTTCATATTCTCTTGTTTTATGAGTTTAGTTGTGGTTCTCATAACATGTTTTTCTGCAGCTGTTCCTTAACTAAGGTGTTGTCATTGCGTAGGTAGTACTCCTTGTGCTTGATGTGCATGCATGCATAGCAAGAGATGCACCTCATTTCCGCCAGCTTGTTGTTTTTCTAATGCACAACTTTCGGGTCAATCACTCGCTTCTTGAAAAGTGAGTTTCTTCCTTTATATTGACAATTCAATTTAATGAGTTCATTCTTGTTTAAAATTGGAAGTGTGTATCTTACCAATGTTGATGAAAATATCATGTTTGTGTTTTCCCAGGCGCGGTGCTTTGATAATCCGTAGGCTTTGTGTACTTTTGGATGCTGAACGGGTCTACAGGGAACTCTCTACAATCCTTGAGGGAGAAGATGACTTGGATTTTGCCTCCATTATGGTTCAGGTTTTATGATTTGTAATTATGCTCATATGTCCCTATTGAAAAAAAGAAGAGAAACAAGAGTCCTTGTTGAAGCCAAAATCATGGTTCCTAATGATTGTATAATACATTTCCTTTTCATTTTCAGGCTCTGAATTTGATTTTACTTACTTCATCTGAGTTGTCTGATTTGCGGGATCTTCTAAAGCAATCACTGGTGAATGCTGCTGGAAAAGATTTATTTCTTTCTTTGTATTCCTCTTGGTGTCATTCTCCAATGGCAACAATAAGTCTTTGCTTATTAGCTCAGGTGTGTATGATGCCATGGCTATCCAACCCCATCTTTGATTGACTTGTTGAATTTCTGTAATTGCTTGCAATCTTTTTTGTCAGGCTTACCAGCATGCCAGTTGTGTGATTCAGTCATTGGTGGAGGAAGATATAAATGTGAAATTCCTGGTTCAGCTGGACAAATTGATCCGGTTGCTGGAGACTCCAATCTTTGCTTATCTAAGACTGCAGGTTAGTTGCTTTGTTGCCAGCTAGGCAGCTGCTAGGTTTTTTCTATAATTGTAGAACTTCAAAAGTTTTTCTCAGTCAATGCTTCAGTATCATTACCATGGTACATAACCAATGTTCTTAGAAGGCAGAGGAATGAGGTGTGGGATTAGGCCTCCTCCTCCTCCTCCTCATTGTCATTGTCATCATCATCATCATCATCATCATCATTTCTCTCTCTCTCAAGAGTTTTAGGTGCTTTAAAACTAAAACATTCTTGAAAATAATTCGGGACATATGTAGATAGATTCTACTGTGAAATAAAACTAATTACAATTCTATTAAATGCTCGCGAAATGTTGCAAGCTCAGCTTGTGAGTTCAGGTGGCACTTGCCTGAGACTAGATTTATTAAGTTGAACTTTGATGGATGCAGTTTAGGCAGTTCTGGTGGTTTAGGACTTGGAGAAGTGTTCAGGGATGGCCATGCCATTATGGCATCATCCTCTCTATGTACTCTGAGGCCATAGGACATGGTGAATCTACAAGGCAAATCTGTTAGCAGTTTTACAAGGGTTGGGATTAGCTAATACCCTGAACTATAGGGGTATTAGTGGAGGGAGATTTAAAGGTGGATGTGAGGCATTCCACTACCTGGAGATGTGAGGCATAGTTCAGAACGTAAGAGGCGTAAGCCTCCCGAACACAAGGAGGTGTCTTAAGAGGAGGGGTATGAGGAGGAAGAAGGAAGGGGAGGAGGAGGAAGAAGAGGAAGGAGGATGTCATTTTTTTTTTCTGTCTTTTTGTATGAGGCGTACACCTCTAGCACGCCTCATGAACCTGAGGCATATGCCTCTATCAACGCCTCTGGCATATGCCTAAGCGTTTTGGGGGCACCTTGCCAGGAGGCATGCCTCCAGGCACATGCTTCCCATGTCTTTTAAAACACTGGTATGGATCACGGGAGTAGTGCATAACTTGGATAGGGAGATAAAGACAATTTTCAATTGGGTTCAGAGATAAGCCAACTGTTTAGCTGATGTTTTGGTTAAACAAGGGGTTACAGTCTACAGAAGTCAGTTGTATTGGTAATTTATCTCCCAAGTAGACTGCTTGTAAATTGGAATATAAAGGTCAGTTTTTGATATTATAATTCATTTTCATCATAAATCAATAAAAATTTCAGTTCGTTACTGATCAAAAGTCAAAAAATAAAACCTGAAAAGTGTCCAGAAAATGTAAAATGTTAAGAACAACAAATATAGATCATCAGTTTGTTATTAACCCCTTGTTTGGCTAGATCAATAAATTTCAGTTCGTTATTTCCATATTTTCCATGTTGTTTTTCAACCATCCCACTACTGTCCTTGAATTCCTTTGGCAAATAACTTCTACTGGTTAAGTGCCGTGGCCATTTTCAGCCTTTGCAATATCACTTCCATTTCAGCTTTCAATTAGGGGTGCAACTTGGGTGAGTTGGGTTGGGTTAAAGGTCAACCCAAGCCCAATCCTAATGGTGCAAACTTCAGGATCGGGCCTCACCCAACCCGAGGTTAAGCCCAAGTTTATCAACGCAGGCTCAACCTGAGCTTAACCCAACACAACTTGGGTTGGGTTAGTCGGGCTTGAGCAGGTTGGTCAGGTTTGAAAGAATTTATGTATATATTTTTACATAGTCATCTTTTATTAGGCTTTATGGCCCAGTTTAAGAGTAGAATTTTTTTTTGAAGGTATAAGGTAAAGTATTTCTTTAAGATCAAAAAGCCAAAAATTTAAGAGTATAATTGATTGAAAATATGTTCAAATTTCATTTACAAATGAACATATGCATACTCATATATACATAATTAGAAAATAAGGTAATTTTTATCAATAAAAGGAGATTATATTAAAATCAAGTTGAAGTATTACAACAATGGAGGAGTTTTCCCCATCTCACAGACTTATATATAATTTATAATGTTGCCCAAAACATTTGGTGCCTAGCTGTCCTTTGTTTAGCCAGATCATCTGCAATCCCATTTGTTGTTCTTTTTAATCATTTAAAGACAACATTCATCTCCCTTGCTATGCTTTCTATTTCCCAAGAAGTATGTCTATAGATCCATGGGATTTGAGAGTTGCATTTTGTCCAAGAAATGACCACCTGAGACCCCTTCTACCTCCAAGTTGTGGAAACCAAATTTCTTAGCAAAATTTAAACCATGGAGTAGTCCATGCAGTTCAGCTGTCAATGCAATTACCATCTGCCAGGGGTCCTGAAAACAAAGCTAACACCTTTCCTTCTGTATCTCGGAAGACTCCACCCAATCCAGCTGCAACTTGATTGCCAATATAACTTCCCTCAAAGTTGAGTTTAACAAAGTTGGTTGCTGAGGGTGTCCAGTCCATATTATACATATTGTGTATTTTTATATAAATATAATGTACATATTATATCTTTTTTGGGTGGGCCTGGGTTGGATTGGGCCGGGATCGGGCTACCCAGGGCCTCAACCCAAGTTTATGTCAGGCCTGAGTTTTCTGGTCCAGTCCCAGTCCGTAGTTCGTAGCCTTAAAACTTAGGACCAACCCGTGCAAAAAAACTTGAGTTGGACTCGCACAAGTTGCACCCCTTCTTTCAGTGAATCACCTTGGACTGCTGAGTGGCTAAGCCTGAAAACTACTCTAATGCCTGAAGGGCCTAGGTTCCCTGTGGAGCAGCCATCAAAGTGTAATTTAATTATAGTAAATTCTGCTTCCAATGAATGGCAGGGTTATTCTGAACTCTATCTTTCCATGATGTGAACATTGTAGGTTCTCCTATCTCTTTGCTTTTTTTTAATGGTGCGAAGGGACTGCCTTTTGTTAGGCCAGTATTCACAACCCAACCTTTTCTGAATACACTAATTTTCACATACAATTAATAATTCCATTTTGGTTACTCCCCTAAACATTTCTTTCCTATTAATTCCTTGCCTTGCACATGAATTGTCTAGATTGTGTTCTGATCTTGGCACCCATTTAACTGTTGCTTCCAATTCCTTTACTAGGCTGCTTATCTCTCTTAAAGTGTGCCTGTAATGCCTTGTGCCTTGATAGTTATTTCTTAACCATCCTTCCACAACTAGAGAATCTCCTTCCACTGCTTTGTTACTCAAATTTGATCATCCTTCCACAATGCCTTGTGCCTTGTATCTTGATAGTTATTTCTTAAGCCTTGTGGGTAGCCATCAACTCAGCTCTTGTAGAGTCCCCATAGCCTGTGGGACCTGAAAAAAAAGAGCTATTTCTTTCTTTCTTTTTTTTTTTTTTTTGAAGCCTAAAGAGCTACCTCTTTGTTTTTTGATAAATAAAAGTTCATTAAGAATTCATTATCAACAAAAAGATAAAGACTGTTACAAGCATCCCAAGTGGAGGCGCAACGTGCAGCCTCACTTTTTAAAAGAAAAAAATAGCACAAAGGTTACAATTGGGCCCAATACAACTGATCCCTAGTTACTCTTTGCTTGGATAGAAAGTTAGCAAATGCATTAGCCTCTCTTCCCATCTGTAGAGAAGATGGGCTGAAAGGCCCATAGCCCACAGTTATGCTTTATATTTTTTATGTTCTGTTCTGTTAATGGGCCTATTAGCATTAGTTTTCTCTTGTTTTAACTAGCTAGCCACCCCACCATGGGCTTACTTGCAATTTTCTGATAATTAGTGATTAACCATTTTAATTAAAAGGATTAGGGAAGGGAGAGAGTGTACGATCAACTCATCTCTTTCATCCCTTTCTCTTCCGTCGTTCTTTCTCTTCTTCTCCTCTTTTTTGTCTTTTTGCCTCTTCCTCCCTTTTTAATCAGATATTATTTTCTTTATTTGAGATTTCTTTTCTTCTTGGTATCAGAGCAGGCCCCTTTTCCTTTTTTTTTCTCTTTTTCTTAATCCCATAAACAATGTGTATGAAGAACTGAATCAATGATTGATTGAAGAAGATACTCAACCTAGTTGGTAGTGGTTTCAAGGAGAAAGGAAGATTGCTCACTTTTCAAAACATGTTTTGGAATTTTGCCCGAAACCCTAGACAATTGGAGATTTCTGATTGCGGGTCCCATAGGAGGTTTCACCTTGGTGCTCAGTGGTTGAAGGGGTTCTCCTTTATTTTGTTGAAGATCGATCCAAGCGGAGTTTGGTTCTGGGAAGCCTACAAGGAGCGGCTGCTATTTCTCTGCTTCTCTCGGGTGCTGGGTAAGGCGCAATTCTATTGTTGGGGATCTGTGAAGGTTGGTATTTGCTGTTTTTCTTTTTTGTCTTCCTTATTTGTCATCTGAAGATTGTTTTGGGATTTTTTGAGGAGGGTGGATGTGTTTGGAGTTGAGAATAAGCTTGGCTTAGAGTCCGGACAGGTTTTAGGAGCACCCGTAGACTCTTTATTTTCTGTAACCATAGGGAAGCTTGATGGGACTAACTATCTAGCATGATCACAATCAGTAAAGATACATGTTTGTAGTAGAGGCAAGTGGGGATATATTTCCGGTAGCAAGAAAGCACCAAAGGAAGATGACCCATCTCATGAAAAATGGTTGCAAGAGAATTACACTGTTATTGGGTGGTTAGTGAATTTGATGCAACCCCAAATTAGTCAGCACTATCTATTGGATCAATTCTGCTAAGGAGATATGGGATAGTGTTGCTGAAACCTATTCACAAAAATTGAATGTGGCCAAAGCATACAAGTTAAGAAGTGATGTGAACAATCTGAGGCAAGAGGAGAGACCTTTGGCAGTCTATTTCTCAATGCTGAAGTCCTTGTGGCAAGAGATAGATCTCATGGAAACTATTGTCTGGGAAAGTACAAAGGAAGCAGAAACATATAGTAGATTGGTTGAAAGGAATAGAGTCTTTGAATTCTTGACAGGGTTGAATCCAGAATTTGACATTACCAGGCAGAATATCCTAGCTAAAGACAATGTATCTTTGTCTTAGGCTTATGCCATGGTGAGCAGTGAGGAGATTAGGAGGCTGGTTCAGGTTCAAGGGGCAATTTCAGTTGACCATTGTGCTAATATGAGACTGAAACCCAAGGCAACTGAAGGGAAGAAGGAGGTTATATGTGAGCATTGCAAGAAGCTGAAACATTCCAATGATACATGTTGGAAGCTGCATCCACACCTTCCACCTCGCTTTAGAAAGAAGGCCAAAAATGGGAAGATTGGGAGTGCCAATGCAGCCATAGTTCTAGATAATGACAGGAGTGCAATTGATGAGAATGCCGCTAGTGAGCAATTAGATGTAATGAAGGTTGAGTATGAGAAATATGGGAGGATGATTAGCTATCTTGAGAGTGCAACCACTTCCTCCAATCCTTCAGGCAATCCAACTACTTTTGCATTTGCTCATTCAGGTATACGAGCTATTGCCAACCATGCAACCATCTTAGGTAATCGTAGAATCCCTTGGATTATAGATTCTGGAGCTTCTGATCATATGACCAACATTTCTACCCTATTTAGTTCTTATGACCTACTTTCTAGCTATGATAAGATTACCTTGGCCGATGGCTCTCTTGCTCCTATCTCTGGCAAGGGAGTCATCAAGGCCACTGACTCCCTTTCACTTACTTTTGTCCTTCATGTCTCTAAGCTGCACACTAATTTGATGTTAGTGAGCAACATAACAAAATCCTTAAACTGTAGTATAACATTTTTTTCCCTCTTATTGTGTTTTCCAGGACCTGAAGTCTTAGAAAGTGATTGGGAATGGCCATGAGGCGAATGAAATGTATCTGTTGGATACTCTTGGACAAAGCCAAGACAGCCTGAGAGAGTTGCTTTTGGGTCTACTTCTTCAGAGTCTTTTAGTCGTGTCATGTTATGTCATTTACGTTTGGGCCATTTATCCTTTCTTGCTTTGAGTCATTTATTTCCAAAATTGTTTAAAGGAATTAACATGTTTAGTCTTCATTAGGAGTCGTGTGAGTTTTCAAAACATTGTAGAGACACTTATTCCTTGAGTAATAAGAGATCCACTTTTCCTTTTCATATTGTGCACTCTGATGTGTGGGGGCCGTACCACTTGTCTTATATGGGTGGCTATTAATATTTTATCTTGTTCATTAATGATTTTTCTCGGTATACTTGGTTATTTTTTATGAGATCTTGTGATGAGGTTCCCAAACTTGTGAAACAATTCCATGAATTTGTTCTTACCTAGTTTGATACAAGAATCATGATATTTTGGTTTGATAATGCAAAAGAATATTTTGAGAAAAACCTCACTTCATATCTCATTGACTTTGGGGTTATTCACCAGAGTTCTTGTGTTCGTACTCTGGAACAAAATGGAGTAGCTGAGAGGAAGAATTGTCATGTAGTTGAAGTTGCAAGGAGCATTTTGTTTGCTTCACATGTTCCTACAAAGTTTTGGGGGGACGTTGTTCTCACAACAACATACCTAATCAATTGTATGCCATCTAGAGTCTTGGGCTTTAAGTCTCCTTTTAATCTTCTTTATCCAAATAAGGAGCTTTTTTCTCTTCCCCTTCGAGTCTTTGGCTGTACCTATTATGTGCACATTTCTAGTACCTAGAGACATAAGTTTGAATCAAAGGCCCATAAGTGCATTTTCCTTGGTTATGCCTCCACACAGAAGGGTTATTGTTTATTTGATCCTAGTAGTAGCACTCATTTTGTCTCAATGGATGTCACTTTTGCCGAATCTACTCCCTTCTATGGTTCATCTTAGGGGGAGTATTCTTCACAGTTGTTTGCACTCCCCCTTCCGATTCCTATTGAGTCTTCTTCTGTTGAGTCCAGAGGGGAACACTCATCCTCTAGTCCCTCCACTATTCTTGTTTCTTCACCATTGCCTCCTCATCCTCCTACTATTCACAGGTGGTAGTAGTGGCAAAGGACCAGGAGTGAGCAAATTGTTTCTCCTACATCACATGAGCCTCCTACACTTCCAGTTGTTGGAGGAATCCTTATCTCTTATGGTCTCTCCAATTCCAGATAGGCTTGGGTTACCCTGACTGTTCTCATCAAAGTTTAGTTTCATAAAGCCTTTCATGGGTGGTGTCCAAATCAGCTGTGTTTTAGTCTTCTGCACTGAACTAGAACCCACTGAAAACCAATTCCTTCAAATTTCATCAAAGGAGAAATATCTAAACAGTTCCAAAGTTTGTAGCTAATGTATAGTTCTAGTCATTATACAATCCATAATTTGTTGTGTAATATCTAAAGAGCTACCTCTTTGCCAGCTGTGTTAAGAGATTCATTGGTGGCTTATTTTTTTAAAAGATCCCAAGCAGAACAACTGATATCCATCTTTATTAGAATTCTGGTACTTCCAAGTTCCAACAAAATTTAACCTAACAGTGATGGTTTCAGTAAATTTTTTGGGTAAGCTCTAAGTGCTTTCCAACCAAACTTAAAACAAATCCAACTGAAGATTTCAGTAAAGGGAAAATTACTTAAACCTCTCCCATGTTTTCTGACAAATCTCTTAGGTTAGCTTTACCCCAAAGAGTCAGCTGAAGCAAGCAAATGGCCCAGGTTCCTAATGCTCGATGGTGCCACTGCTTCTTGTTCAAACTCTAAATGACCTGCTTTGGTTCTTCTTCTAGAATGATTTTCTTCATGTCATATGTTCTGGCTATTTCTGAGCTGTCCAGTTTTCTGCCACATTAACTGATGAAACTCCAAGAATATCTGCCTTGATGAAGGTTACTCTCCCTTTGCAATCGCTTCCTACACAATCACAAGCAATCTGACCATCTTATCTTTTATAAGCATCAAAATTAATTTTATATTCCTGATCCTTTTGTCAGAACTATTTGATAATTACACTAGCCTTCTTATTATAAGATTCCGAGGCATTTAACTCCCACATATAATTTGGACATGATCCACACTTTTCTATTATAATAGGTGGGTATTCCTTTGTATTTTTTGAAAACAATTTCTTTCCTAACAAAAATTACACATTGCCTATAGAAAGAAAGCGATTTTTTTCCCAGTAGTGCTTAGAACTATCATTTTTATTAATTACTTTTACCACCATAATTAGATGTGTCTATCATCCAGTTTTGTACCTGGGCATGCCTCCTCTATTGTTATCCAGATCTGCTGTGCCAAAGGGCATTGCATGAAGATGTGATTCTCGTCATCCATGGGATCATCACAACTTGAACATTCTGGATTAATATTCAGACCCAATTGAATAAATGCATTTTAGTTGGTATTTTACCATTAATTAAGAACCACAAAAAATTATTTTTGGGTAACACTTGATTCTCCAGATCTTTTTCAAAGCAGATTTAGTTGTTAAAATTCCTTTTGGGTTCCCTGTCCAGATCATTTGATCTTCCTTGTTATTGAATGGAAATGGGATTGCAAAGATCTCTCCTTGTTGTTGAGTAACCAGTCTATGGAGCTCTTCTTTTTTCCAACTTTTGTTCTCCCAATTAACTAATTCTGAATTTTTTTTCTTTCAATTGTTGAGAGGATACTTATTTGGATGTACAACCCTGTATCTTGATCTCCTTAAAAATTTCGTTTCATGTTTCAAATAAATATGCAAACACACCCCTTCCGTTAATTGTCTTGATAAAGCCTAAAGTTTATATAAGTAGGTTTAAAGTTTTTAAAATCTTGTTTTTGCTCATGAAAAGTTTATTGGGATGAAGATTTATCAAATTACCACCCCCCCGAATAAAAAAGGTGATTCACTTTATGTAAGTAGGTTTCATTGTTTCATTTCATTGAGTGCATAAAGGCCAAATTGGGATTGAACTTGAGCATCCCCTATTAGCAAAATGCCATACTCAAGCATTTGAAGAGAGAATAACAGTGTTCGCTATGTACATTCATGACAAGGACTCCATTGACAGCCCTGGATGTGGTACCTCCAATTGAATATGGATTCTAAGTACTCAACTGAATGGATGATCTTCAAGTGTTTGAACAATCTGTGTAAATGGTGAAATGAAGTACTTCATTAAATTTTATAGCTGTTGGCATTCTTCATTCTTATAAGATGGTCAATACTTTTCCAAATTGTTGAAAAATTCATACTTTAGTGCTCTACCAACTTTTGGGAATATTCATTGGTAGTTATTTTATTGGTTAGCAATGCCTTGGTAATTTGTTTGAGAAATACCTGTGAAAGCTAGGATCTTATAATGTCTAGCTTATCCAACTTTATGTGTCGCAGCTTCTTGAACCTGGAAGATACATATGGTTGTTGAAGGCCCTGTACGGTCTTCTTATGTTGCTACCGCAGGTATGCCTGAACAGCTAATTACTTATTCTCACCCATTTCTTTTTCTTTGTAATCCATGATTGTGTCATTGTGCAAGTCAAAGTGGGGGAAAAAACTTGGGCTGGAAAAGTTTTCTCCACACATTAAGAATTTTAATAGGGTTGGAAAGGTTAGTTTCTGCCCATAAAGAATCTAGATGTTGGCCATTGAACCTAAGTTATCTTGTAATCTTTTGAATACTGAAACAACTTGAAAGGTGATGTAAACTGATTGAAATATCAAAAAAGAAGCTCATTCAATGCCAGCAAAATTCAGCCTTCAAAACACATTGCCAAGTGGATCACATATCATGATCTGCTTCAAAATTCAGCCTTCGAAAAACATTGAAATATCAAAAAACAATGCCGATTTACCAAATCCAGCATTTTTAATGCACCAACTATTGGGTGTACTTCTTGACATTTCTTCTTTAATATTGGTTTGTGCAATTTATCCCTTCATTGGTAGTTCATTCAATGCAGCAAAGTACAGCTTTCAAGATACTGCGAACTCGACTGAGAACTGTACCTTCATACTCCTTCAATGGTGAGCAATTGAAGCGAACATCTTCGGGGAACCCATACTCTCAGATTTTACATCACATGCCAAGCGGATCACATATCATGGAGGATGGTGACAAGAATCAGGATCCGGGGAATGCACATAATGGAATCAACTTTGCTTCACGGTTGCAGCAGTTTGAGAACATGCAGCACCAACATCGTACATGTGCAAAATCACAGTTGCAGTCTCGAAATTCCATTTCATCCAACTTATCCCAGGTTTGCTGAACTACCAGGCTACATTGTACACCTACAAGTGCCTTGTAATTCTTGTTTGGGGAATAAGAGAATTTGATAATTTAATGTGCAGGAGGTTCAAAGACCTTTGGAAGAGTCCCGCCGACCTTCACCCATGCCGGATATGACGCGACCTCCTTCAAGGTCATCATGGAAAGGGCCAGGGCAATAACAACAATGATTATGTTTATTTTTCTTTTTTGTTTTTGCTATTGTTCACCTTTGCTATTCCACCAAGCCTTTGACAAATATGCGGATCCATTTTATATTCGCAAGTCAGAACATCATCTGGTAGTGTAATTGTAAAATTGTATATCTTGGAGGTTTGTTGTGTTGAATTTCTGGAGGTTGTGGTGGTAGGAATTGTGCTTAATTGGCATAAGCCTGGGCATTTCCTGGGCTATTCTTTTGTGTTTATGGACAGGACTCGTGCTCATGTGGTTCTGTTATTTTTTTATTGAAGGCCACATGAGCAATAGAGAGAATTCGAATTTAGGGTATGCAGTTGGTTGTATTGTCCATTTGTTACTACAATTTCAAAGAAGTAAAGCATTCAGGGAATTATGTAAATTGATCTTTTGTAATTGTGTTTGTTGTTCCTTACCCATAACCCGTTTTCATTTTCATTCGATAGCCTTCTGTTAGTCTTGCTTTTTCTTTGACAGCCTTCAACAGTAGGCCGAGCATTATGAAGAACAAAGAAAATCATGACACCCTAAAATGTGTGTTAAGTGGTATCTACTGCGCTGAGACTCCTGGTGTTAATATACATATAAAATAATTTTCGGATTTTCCTAATTTTTGGGGGAAATCCAATAAATCTACTAATAAAAGTCTAAAACAGTAAAACATCATAGATCTAAATGAAACTTCAATATGAATTGTTGCTTGCTTATTTAAATATTTTTATATAAATAATACTTTTTATTTCTTCAAATAATCAATATGTTTTGTTTACTTATTTTTTTGGTAGATTAATTTATAAGATAAATAATTTTAGTTTAAAAATATATAGGGTTCATTAGAATTTCTAAGATACAGATAACGTGTGATTCAAAATTCAGTTAGTAGTCATAAATACTAATATAAATATTTTATTTATTATTATATAAAGAAAAGTATCATTTTTACATAAATTGCTTTTGGATCGATGGTTTTGATAAATCATTGGTAGAGATCATTTAAAACATATAAAATAAGTTATTTTGTAATTTTTTATTTTTTAGGAAAATTCGTAGACTATTAATCACAAATATAACAACAAATTACCATATTTTTACAATTGAAACACCAAAACACAGATCCATTGAACACGAGTGTTTAAAATTTAAATGAAAATAGTGCGAATACATATGCTGTCATTTTTCATGAATCGTGTTATATTTATATTTACACTGAACACATTTATATTTACACTCCTTCCAAATGGAGCCTTATGCAATTTTGAATTATTTTTGGTTTTTTGCAGGTTGGGGTCTCTCCAATGAGCTTACGTAATGAATACATGAGATAGTAAAATGACAAGAGGCTATTGTAGAGGATAAACTATGTTGTGAAAAAGTTAGCAGAGAGGTTCCAGGTCCAACTTATACGTGGTATTTGTATCGATTGATACGTATCCGAGACAATACTAATACGGTTGATACCTTAAGAGCATAAGTGGAATGTTTGGTAGCAGGTCCATTCCACCTGTGGTCACATGTCGGTGGTGTTGGATACTGACAACATGTCTCCATTGTATCATGTCGATATTTTCATATTTTGAACCTCGGCTTGGCAGAGACGTTACCCACTGAGACTGAGCTAATTGAATAAACCATTGTTCTACCGTAAGTTTCCAAGGGTTGCTCCAGATTTCTGAAGAAGCAGCATCAAATTTATCCAGGGCAAGTGGCATCCATGAGATTACTTGGTAACCTACCCAGTTTGAGATTGAGTCATTATTTTTTTTAAGTCTCAGTTTGGGGTTGAGTTATTCCGCCCCTCCACTAACATAAAATTTAAAACTTTTAAAAGTCCATTTTATCCGTTTTCTTACTTCTTTACGAGTTATGACATATAAATTAAGCTATTTTAGCCAACCCCATCTCAATATATCCTTACATTCTAAATCACTGAGATATGTATATCTTCCAATATTGAAGGACTAAATGAAAAGAAAAAGATGCATTCTTCCTTTTTCTTCTTGATTCCAATAAGTTCTCTTGCATTGGTAAGATTTCAAGTGTTTTTTTTTTTAAATGCAAAATCATCCCATAGCCATAGGTAACTAAGATAAAATGAAAACCAGCAAAACATAAATCATTCGACCAGTATGTGGTCTGTATCAGTCCTTGTCAACCTATGTCAATTCATATTGACATATACAATGCAGTATGGACCATATATGGTACCGAATCTATCGGCATATAGAACGAGTTGGCACCAAACCCATTTCCATGTTTGGCCTTTATGGAAACCAATACGGTATGCCTTTAGGAAATTTCTGTCATTGCCTTGCCATGGTCTAGAGCATGACATTCCGTTTCTCAGCGTTGTGGTTCAAAGAGTGCTTATTATATCCATCCTAGAGTCAACAACTAATACAACAATTTGATCTCTGGGTTCTTTAAGAGTCGCTTCAAGATAAATTTTAAATACACCAAGAGAGTAACTTTGTGTTGGATTAGAGATCATATGGAATTGAATTCTCAGCATTTCATATGAGCCTGAGAACTACATGAATCCTGTTTCGCCAGTCCGTTCTGTTTAATGATACATTCATTGTTAAATTATTGATGCTCAAATCATTTTTTTACTACTTCTACCTACCTATGTCCTTTTTGTTTATCCCCAACCCTTTAGTTCTAGCCCATTCAATTATTGAACCATGAGCCCTTGCCCTCAAGAGCAACTGATAATTGAGAAGGACTAGCGGGGATTCTAAGCACCAGGGTTCGAATTACCTGGAGCCTGGAGGGATCACAAAACTAGAGGTCTAACTTAAGGAATGTACAAGCAGGGTAGGGAACCTCTGGACAGATAAAGAAGACTCAATTCTAACACTTGATTAGAATTCAAATATGACAAGTTAATAATGTTGGGTGGGTTCTCTTAAAATGATTGTTGTTGTTGCTGGCTCAGTTTGTTATTGTGAGTTTTGTTTGCATTGGTGTAAATGCATAGGAGTGCAAATGGGCTGAGTGTAATTCTAGTTTACTTTTGCTTTAGATTTGACTGTCTTATTTGTTTGTGAAAAGTAAAATGGAATGTAAAATGAAGTGACCTCCACATTAAATGGAAGAGAATGGAGGTAGGAGGAGGATTATCTGTCTAGGAATGAGGTAGGATGTGAGACAATGTGGCTCCCACTTTATTATGAGAAAAAAATGAGGTTGGAGGAAGGTGGTGCAAGTTTAGCATCAGTTTTTTGGGATGCAAAATTTGCACGGTCATTGAGCACAAAAGAGACAAAAAGTACAAATTTTGTATCAGGTAAAAATGTAAACCATAATAACAAACAAAGTAAAACTAATTCACATCCGGTCAAGATTTGCACTGCACCCAAACACAACTTGCTAGAAAAATTTACAGGGAAGTAACGTGGATCATTAAAAATCAATCTGCTACCAGCAATATCTGACTTTTGACATCCTTCTATACCATCTTCCCTTAAGATACCCAAGAGATAAAGCAACCATTCAAGTCTGTAAGGGTGGTTGACTCACTGATTTATTGCAGGAAGCAATCCATTCGTGAAATCAAATATAAAATTGCAGGGTAAAATGCATAGGAGACCAGAACAACATTTATTTCTGAATCACTTGCATATACATAATCTACATAACGTTCCCGTTTATCTCCACTACAAAACAGAAGATTGCATCCAATCAATTTCCCCTTACAGAACTTGGAACCCAAAATTGGGTCTATGATTAAGGTCAAAAACAAACTTGACCAGCGGATGCCACTGCTGCTGACCAACATCAGAGACTAATATATTTACAACACCTGAAATCAGCCTTTCACATGCTTAACACAGTTGACACAGTTATAAAGCATAGATCTTTTCATGGTCAGAATTATAAGCATCAGGATCTGAATAAGCAGAGTACAGAGACCACGAGAAAGACTTACTGCCACTAGCCCTCCTAATCCGTCTCTGGGAGTCATCACTAAATATTCTGAAATGTTGTCGGAAAACAAAGTAGCACATGCTAACAAGAGTGCCCACAAGAATTGGTATACCCAATAATGTTATGGTAATAGCCATCCATGAGCTTTTATTCCCCACAACTATAAATGCCAATGACAAAAATGATCCGCAAGTGCTAAGACAGGCCGCCCACATTAGCTTGTTCACTACTGAAACAACCTGCTTTTGAGCTCTGGTATCCCAGGCAACCAGAGTGATCTGAACCACAACAACTGCTAGAGATATGAATAAAGATGTGGCATTCAAGAGGCAAAATACACGAAATCCAACATGATCAGCTATATGGGCTTTCCCAGCATCTTCTCCATCTTGAAAATATTGACCGGGCAAATTGAATATACCCATGAAAGCAATAGATGCAAAAAGAACTGCAACAACAGTCACAGAATTGGTGGTATTTTGAACTGCTTCTCTGTGCAGTTTCTGCAACTCTTTGGCAATTCCAGACACTCTTTTGTTGGTCTTTGCAGTCTGTATAAATTGTGACTGCACCTCGTGCTTTATATCACTAACAGTTCTTTTCAGCTCCATGGTTTCATCCACTTGGCCTACATTCCTAGCATATTTTGCACCAGCATCTACCAAGGCTTCCTTAATTTCCAATGAAGGTTCTCCATACTGGAGTTTTTCTGCCAAATCCATTGCAGTTTCTTTCTGATTATTTATAGCATTGACCTCTATGGAGGTATAGCTTAATAGAAGGATTACTATCTGAAAAGAACAGCGAGCATATATGAGAAAGACATTAAAATGAGTCGTACAAAGTATTCAAATTCTACTTTATTATGTCAACTGCTTCCATTATCATTTACAAGAAATAACATTTTCAACTGCTGAAAATATTTAACAGGGAAATATCAAACACCAAAGTAATGCATTCCTTTCAATCAATTGAGAAAGAAAGTAGAGACCAAGGGAAGAGCCTAAACAGAACCACTGCTGGACCAATGGCCCACAAAAACTCGTTAATATGAACCATAAATTAAAAATTCTTGGATCTTGTAACCATGATATTGGACACCTGAAGGTGCCAACACAACATTGGCAACAGAAGTATATCATGAATTACTAAGAGTATTTTTACATCATGAACACTTATAAATATATAGATAGTTTATTTTAATAAAGCATATTATAAGAAACTTTGTAAATATTGAAAATTCTATTGATACAAGCAGAGGAAATTTCACTTGGCCATAGAAAAAAATAAGTAGAGCTAAAAGCAAGATATCAGCATGTTGAATATGATACTTTTGTCCAATATTAAAATCTTGGATGATGAGACATTGAGATTACTTTTTGGTATTACATATTACACATTACTGGGGGTTAAGGGGTGGGGACAGAGCAGGATGCACATGAGATCCACTGACCTTACAACGGAGGGCCTGCAGTTATGTGGTTTGGTCCCATACCTCCATACTTGGAAGGACAACTATTGACAATCTCAGCTACTGGGCCATTGTCAATCATGACCATTGAGATTTAAGATTACCTATATCTATATCTATATCCATACCCATGTATGGCAATCTGGGGCTTGTGAAAACAAAAATTCCAAAATCCCAAGTGTGTAGTCTGAATTTACAGAAAACATAAGAGGGATACCTGGGGACGACATTTCCTTGTAGCTATATGCACAGCTGTGTTTCCCTTCTTGTCACGTGCATTTAGTATTGAAGGATCAGTAAGCAATATCTCCTCCACTACAGAAGGATCCTGACCTTTTACAGCCATATGAAGTGCAGTCTGGCCCTTCTTATCTTTGATAGAAACAATTCCTGGGTCTTTATCTATAAGTGCTCTTACTATTTGCAAATAACCATATCGTGCAGCAGTGTGAAGTGCAGTTTTCCCATTTTTTCTCACAATCCTTATTGAGCTCACATCTGCATCTAATATAGCATTCACTACATCCAAATGTTGCTGAACAGCAGCTGAATAAAGAGGACTAGTGTTTGAGGGATCACATGATTTTGTACAAAGCTCAGGCCACATGCTCAAAAGCTCTTTGACAATCCCTGTGATAAAAAAATAGTAAACAAATATTTCATAAAATAATAATTAAAATTAATAGAATGTTTGAAATTTGGTAAAATGCCAAAGTTATAGGAAACTGGTCCGAGCTTATAAATGTTGGAAATTAAAAACTTCCTAGATTTTAAACAAAATCATAAGATTCCCAAATCCCCTTCAAACTCTAAGACCATACTTGCAAGAATTACCATGACTTCACAGTGCCAACCAATGATTTGAATTCCAAAAATGATAGAACAAACTGTTTTTGGTGAACCGTTATATATATTTTAAATTAATAATGTGGATGTGATTGTGTGATATCTTTGAATTTAATTGTAGAAATTGAAGGTTTAAAGATGAAAGTTTAATCAATAAGTAATGGACCTGTTTAATGTCAACCAAAACACCAACTTAATTCTATATGGCAGTGAAGACATTAAGACATGCCCAAGGGTTCAAATTTGAAGGAAGGTGAAGATAGATGGGATGATAGAGGAGAGAATGAGATAGGTATAAATGGTAACAAACATCAACTTGTCAAGAGCCTAGATCTTGGTTTTGGTCATGGAATCACATGTGAGCTGGCTTCTTCCAACATGATGAATGGAACTAATTGATGTTTCTATGTGCCTAGATCCTTTAGGCTTTTCTCTTTTATCTTTTACTTGTTTATTTTATTGCGTTAGAGTTCATACCATAATGGAATGCACTATTAAGATTGTGGATTCAACATGCCACATTTGATGCGTAAGTTGTTTCATACGATGAAGGGATGTTGCTACAGAAGTATCCAGGAAAACATTGAACAATGTTTACAGGAAAGCTTCTATAGGAGCAACTAGGGCAATGTTTAGCAATCAGTATAATTGTTAGAGGTTCCTGACACTGCATCACAAGTGAAGCAGTTAACTACTGAAATCCCAGCTTAAGTATTTGCACTTGGTATTGTTCACTCTCCTATGAGGCTATGACTATTGCAACATTATCAAATCTTTAAATCCCTGATTTGATCAAATAGATCCTATTATTTATCCTAATTTATCAGGAATGCACATTTTCATGAAACATGGCAGGACCACTGAAATGTATTTTAAAGTTCCTGTTCAATTTTATTTTCATAAGTTAAAAGAATAGTAATGGAAGAAGGATCTATTAAAAAAAAACTAAATTAATTTCATGCTTTTGGGGACTCACATTATAAATGTAGTCTTCCTATTTCCAGAATTCTCCTTGAATTTATAGCAGTGGACATAAGGTCCATGTGATTTACAACTTGGTCCTAGGAATTTCTATCCATTCTCATTGTAGGGTGAAAGGAACAATCAAAGTGAAAATCATGAGATTGAAGCCTGCCCGAACTATTAACATGCTCATATAATAGCAGTGAATATCAGATCACTCTTATCTATATAAAAAAAGCAGATCACGCTTACTGCACAGCATATATGGCTCCTACATCATAACAATTGAAATTTTATACTGGACACATCACTGAGATTATTAATGATTTATGTACAAAATCTCAGAAAACGAAATGAAAAAAAAGAGAGAATGAATATTATGTTATTTGATGGTAGAAGAGTATTTATAATTACACCACCGACTCCAGGCAACTTGTGCCAGGATACTTAACAAACTACATAACCGCCTAACAGATCAAAGAACACGTGGGCAAATCCTTCTCTAAGATTATGAACTTCAACCTCATTTTTTGTAGGAGATACATCCAAGTTATGGTGTAGAATCATTCATATTTATCCAGAGTAGAATTGCATCAGCTCTACTTCTTATTTGACAGTAGAAGCACTTAGTTTGCAAAGCTGAAACAATCGCATAGAAAAAGTATGATCAACATATATGTTAGGAGACCTGCACCTACAATTGTGACAAATTCTGAAAAGCTGAAGCCCGGCTCTACCATTTACCTACAATGGTGCAGAAAGGAAACCTGCATCATAAGATGGATTTTGCACGTTTACCACTCCCCCCACCCCCAAAGGAAAAAAAAAAAAGAAAAAACTATAAAAAATGAAAGATCAGTGGCAAAAACTCAAGTTTTCCTTGCATTTAGAAAAAAAAAAGAAGTATTCCACTGTAATTAATATTTATCTAAAATCACAACGTCGTAATTCAGAAAAAAATATCAATAGCAAGATATGCACAAATCTAATCTCACAGCGAAAAATCAGATAATAGTTTCTCCATCATTCAACTTAAAATCTCACATCAAAGACTTATAGTTCTATTAACAATCTTTTCCACATCAAAAGAATTCCACAAACAGTTCAAAGAAATCACACATCATCAATCATAACAAATTAACAATGAACCAAATTTTCAGGAAAATAAGGTACCCAAGTGTCCGCGCTTAGCAGCAACATGAAAAGCATCTATATTCATCTTGGACCTTATCATCACTGTCTGGAGATTACAGAACCTGATCAAGTAATTAAAAATCTCCTCAAAATTATTGTCAGCAGCGATATACAGAGCTGTTTCTCCAGCGTCGTTCTGCAGCGCCATTAAAAAAGAAACAGAAGCTTGATCCTCTCCTTCATCTCCGCTCGACTCTTTGACAACCAGCTTCAACGACTCGAGATCGCCGGACCGGGCGGCAGAGAAGAAGGACTGATGAGAGATGAGCCGAAGCGATGTCGTGTCCATTAGAGGAAAATTTTGTGATTAATTTTAGGGTTAGGGTTCTACTTTGTCCTTCTTCAATCTTCTTCTTCTTCTTCTTCTACTCTGTGGAAGAGAAGTTGTCAGGAGATATAGCTCATTAGCTCTATTCATTAAAACTTTTCCTCTCGGGAACACTTGACAGTAACTCGTCCGTTTACAGTTTACTGACCTTAACTCGAAACAGTTAAGCACCGCCGTGAGCAGAGATCACTTTTTATTTTATCAAAATAATGAAATTGAAAAAAGGAAATAACGGCAGTTATGACAGGTATTTCCGTTTTTTAACTGCTCTAACGTCAACCCCGTTAGTCAACAAACATCGCTCAACAGGATAAGGCCGATTTGGACCGTCCATTTAAAAGGACCCCACCTTTGAGATGAGATGGCCATAGATCAGTAGGTCCAACTCAATTAGGTACGCGTAGATACCAACTAACCGCTGATGTATGATTATGCCATGTGAATGGTAAGATGTGAGTTACTGTAAACGCCGCCCTATGAAAATCAGGTGGATAAGGGATTTCTGTTAGAAATTAATCAATTAAAAATTTATATTTAATTTAAGAGAAAGTCTAACGTGAGCCACACCGACTTGGCTTATAAATGCACAATAATGGCAACAACGTCATGATCTAAGGGAGAGTCCACGTGCGCATGTTAGCAGATTCCATTTATGATTTATCTATCTAACTATCTTTTGGTCATACTTGTACCAGATCCTTAGTCGTGAAGTTATCGAAGGAGAGGGAAGGAGGAAATCCAATCAAGCCTAAGAACCGTGGATCAGAATCAAAGCCACTCGTTGACTCAACTCAACATAGTTAACTCTTTAGTCTTTACCCCCTTTCAAGTCACTTACTATATTGACTGGATCTGCTACTCACAAATGTGCGCCTCACAAGTATATCCGCTGTGCATTGAGAACATTTCCCGTAAATAATAATAAATAAGTACGGAAGATGTTCTCAATGCATGATAGGATGTGAAACATATGTGAGGCACTGTGTGTGAGGAGTAGATTTGGTCTCCTTAGTACAGTAGTATACGCCCCACAACGTCTTACAATACATCTCCACCGTGTATTAGAAGCATCTCTCGATGATATAGCAAAAATGATGATGTCATCATCGGAAGATGTTCCTAATACATGACGGGGATGTGTTGTGGGACATTGTGGGATGCAGATCTGAACTCCCAAATTGTTTCTTTTAATTTTTTTTTTATTTAAATTTTGTAATAATGATATCAACTTGGACCGGGTTATTTCGAACCCAACTCGAAAGGTCGGTTTGGATCGGGTTGAAACTCAGGGTTTGGATTGAAAATGAAAATTACAAATCCGATTTAACTTTGGGGTTGAGTTAAGGTTGAGGCCTTGATCAACCTAATCCAACCCAAAACAAATTTAATTTTATATTTTGTGTGTAACTGTGTACTTACATGGTGTAAGGCACGTTTTATGCATTTGTCTAAATAAAGTTGCGTTTGGAAAGAGTACAAATACAAAAATAATGAGTACAAATTCAAATGTCTGGTTTAGAAAAATTCAAAGTTGGTTTAATTTTGTATTGATTGATAATTTGGTATTCTTGTCAAATGATTTTTAATTGTAATAAGTATAAACTAGCGAAGGGGGCCCTGTATTGTAGGGGCTCGCTCATAAACCATCAGGCTTGAGTTCGATTCAAATTAGAGATTTGAGCTCGAGCTCGAGCTCGGCTCGAGTTAAAAGCTCGGAAGTTCGAGCTCGACTACCTTTGATTGCAGGTCTCTCAAGCAGTCGAGGTGCCGAGTTGAGGTCTCCCTCAATTGCCGAGGTGCCAAATCGAGGTTTTCCTTAGCTACTGAAGTGTTGACCTGAGGTTTCCCTAACAGGCGAGGTATCGAGCTAAGGTCTCCCTTAATTGACAAGGTGCCGAGCTAAGGTTTCCCTTAGTTGTTGAGGTGCTGAGCCGAGATCTCCCTTAGTGACCGAGGTGCCGAGCCGAGGTCTCCCTCAGTGGTCGAGGTGTTGTCTAGCTTGAACTCGATTCGAATTAGAGATTTGAGCTTGAGTTCAGAAGTTCGAGATCGGCTCGGCTTGAACTTGACTAACTTTGATTGCAGGTCCCCTAGCAACCGAAATGCCAAGTTGAGGTCTCCCTCAGTTGGAGAAAGAGTGACATTTTTGTAATTTGAAAGAAAGAAAAAACAAAAGAGAGAGTGGCATTCTTATAATTTTTATGAAAAAATGCAAAATATAATGTTAGATTCCATTTCCCTCATCCTCAAGCCTTCTTACATACACATTACGGCTTAATATATTTATATAGATATGAATGTGGAGACCGAAGTCCACCATTTTTATATTTAACAACTTGAGTGCAAAGTTTTGTTCTCATTTAGATGCAAATATGTTTTAGAATTTGTTTTTCTTGTCATTATCAATACGCAAATACACTCTTTACCCAACAATGCAAAACTGTACTAGCATGTGCATATATGTTGAATCAGAACCTGCACTTTTCCCAAATGCAGCCTTAGGGTAAAGATTAATTTGATGTTAATTATCAAATTTTACTTTTATGACATGCATTGAAACCAAGGCAAGTATTTATAATATTATGTAAGCAAGTAGGTATGTACATAACTACTTACCAAAAAAACTATGTATCCATAAATTCATATATATATATATATATTTATGATCTTTTGGCTGCAAGTATTTTTATATATATATATATATCTTATTTATGCATGTATATTGTATGCCAATTTTTTTCTAAAACAAGATAAGATAACTTTACTCTTTTACACATAATAATGCTGAAATTAAATTAACTTCAATCCTTGAGTGTAGCAAACAAGAACATTTTACAAAAAGTAGAGAAGTTGGACCAACCCAAATCCAACTCAACATAAAATTCTCCAGTTGTACTTTCAATAGCTTAGGTTGGGCTAGTGTTGATCTCAACCAAGGTTTTAAAATGCTAAAGGCATAGTTCAGGGGTAATGGCCCAAAAAGGTGAGGCTTAAGCCTAAAAAATTAAAGTTCATAAATGATAGGATAAAAAATATGGTATATCAAGTTAGAATGATAGAGGATACAAATATTCATTAAATAAAAGTTCATGAGTAGTAAGTTCAAGTCTTTAAGCATTAAGTTAAATAGGAATGGCAACAGGACAAGTTTGGGGTGGGAATCATGGACCTCAAGTTTAAAATAAATCCCTGTCCCAACCCAAATCTCATCAGAGATGAAATTTATCCTCCATCCCCAATCCCCGACAAAAATGGGTTCTTGTGGCAACCCAAATCCCCCAAAAACTTTTAATTAATGGTATCTTTTGAAAATAATTAATAGTATATATAATTGGGGTTAGGGTGGGGTGGGAACTTTACTCCTCATCCCCGACCCTATCCCTGGTCAGGGATCCCTTTAATCCCTGTCCCCATCTCCACCCCACCAAGGCAATCTCCATCTCTGACTCCATTTGGGTCAAGGAGGTCGGGTATTTAGTGGGGAGGGGGAAAATTATCATCCCTAATGTTAAATAAAATAATGACTAATCAATTAACAATTATGAACCTTTTACATCTAAAATTTCAAAATCCAAGTTCCCGAATTATTCAAAAGACCAATCATAATGTTTTAGATTATAAAAAATTCTGCATCAAAATTGTTTACATCACAAATGGATTATATGATCAATCATCCATGCAATTGATATTAGATTTGTGATCAACCAACAATTTAGAAGAAATGAAACAACTTAGTTAATTTGATCTATGCAAAAAAAAAAAATCAATAAAAAAAAAATCTATCAAGAAGATAAATGAAAAAAAAATGACAAATTCGGGATGCTAAATCTAAAACAACAAGAAAAAAGTCCCACTTGATTTAACCAAGAGAAACTAAGAACTTGAATGCTTGATTGGCCCTTTTTTGTGTTGAATTATCCTAAAACCCTAAGAGAACTCGATATGCCTCGTTGGTTTTTCATTTTTACTCTTTTATTTGACCCATAATTATGAAAGTGCCCCTCCTATATATTTTGAGCTATAAAAATACATAAAATATATTTTTGTACTAAATCACTAAATAATCATTGATTGTTGACTTACCGTCTCAAACTATATGCTTACACCTCTTTCTAACAAGGCCTAAGTCTCACATAAAAGTTGTAAGACTTGAGCCTCGAGACAAATTCTATGCACCACATGATTGCACCTCAAGAACCAAAACTAAACAAAAAATTCTGTATCAACTTAGTTTTGATTCAGTTATGGTTCATGATTTTCCAAAAACTGGTAATAACAATTCAATTTTATTAATCGAACGGTGAGTACCCCTCTAACTTAGACCTTTTAAAACTTCGAGCCAGTTTAATTTGGCCCGACTTACACCCACTAGGTTATTTATCAACCTAGAGGGAAAGCAGTTCAACCTGCAGCCAAGTTTTAATAGTTGAAACAATAAGAAGATTCGAGGGGACAAGTATGGCAGAGTTGTAATGCAACTCAGGCAAGTCATATAACATTGACTAATGAAACCCTTTGGATGCGTTTGGAATTAGTGTAAAACATTGTCGATGTAAAAATATATCAATGATGTTTTACACTGAATTGTGAAAGTGATCGTTGTTTTTTGAAAAATGTGATGGGTGAAGAGTGTAAAGTTTTACATCAATAATCCATGTAAAACTTTACATTTGATAGGTTTTATATCGATTGTCGATATAAAACTCCACTCCATCTAAACGTACGCAAAATTGAACCAGAGTGGTGTTTTACGTCAATCATGATTACATTCTCATTCCAAATGCGTATAAAATTGAACCAATATAAACTTTTACATCATTTTTTATTTACACTGATTCCAAACGCAGCCTTAAAAGCTAACCCTAAACCAAGCCAATCTTCTACTCAATGTGCTCAACAGTCAACCTTTGATTTGTTTGAACCGTGATAATCAATTTATTGCACAGTCCAGTGGTCTTGGGGCCCATGAGTCGCTATCTGCCCATCATCATGTTTCTAGACCGGAAGCCCACCATTGGATGGGTCCAAACAAAAAACATTGGGTGTGAAAAAAAGAAAAAAGAAAAAGAAATGTAGGCCACATTTGAGAGTTTTTTTTTCTCCA